CCTAAACCCTAAACCCTAAACCCTAAACCCTAAAACCCTAAACCCTAAACCCTAAACCCTAAACCCTAAACCCTAAACCCTAAACCCTAAACCCTAAACCCTAAACCCTAAACCCTAAACCCTAAACCCTAAACCCTAAACCCTAATCCCTAAACCTCTAAATCCTAATCCCTAAACCCTCAACCCTAGAACCCTAAACCTAGACAACGAGTTCGCGAAAGAAGGCGAAACTAATACAGACGACGGCGACGACCGTGACAGCGAGCGGCACCAAGGCGAAATCGCGTGCACAAAAAGTGAAACGTAAGTAGCTCACAATGTATTTTTAAGGCGTAATGGCGCCGCGGCGAAATGTTTGCTCATTCATATTTGCCCACTTCGTCGCGGCCTCTAGTCGCGCGGCTGTGATTTCCTCGAGCGCTCGAGGATGAGTCGTGAGACCCTTTTCTTCAAGCGTCGCTTGTCGACTCGCCATTTTAAGGCCAACGCTATCCATCCACGTGCCAAAAATGCCTTCAAGCACGACTTGTGAATTTTTTTTGTTTTTTGCAAAGCCTGCGTCGCGTCCATTCGGCACTGCTTGAACGCGTCCGGGCAGCCCGACTCACAGGCGCATTAAACTATGGTTTATGATCGAGCGGTCACGTCGCAAAGAATTCGTTATAATCATACACTCATTAACATAACGTCCAGCGCGATCTCTACGCGCTCGCGATACCGCACAACTCCTTCAGTTCGTTTCCGGACAAGCTTTCGGAGTCCAAGAGCCGACGAGCAATCGCGTGAAGGTCGCCTTCGTGTTTTGTCAGTAGATCCTTCGCACGCTTGTACGCCGCGTCGAGCATCGCTTTCACTTCGATCTCAATTAACTGCCTGGTTTCGCTCGACAGTTCATCGGACGCGTAGTCCTGGGACGCGAGGCCCACGGTATCGCTCATGCCGTATCGCGTCACCATTTCGCGCGCCAACCTCGTCGCTTGCTGGAGATCGCTCGACGCCCCAGTGGTGATTTCGTCCGAGCCAAAGATCAACTCTTCCGCGACGCGACCGCCCATGGTGACGTCGAGCATCGCCAATAGCTGTCTTCGCGTCATTTGGAGCTCGTCCTTCTCGGGTAACTGCATCACCATACCGAGCGCTTGGCCTCGAGGCACGATCGTCGCCTTGTGCACCGGGCGCGCGCCCTTCGTGCGAAGCGCGACCAACGCGTGGCCTCCTTCGTGATAAGCCGTAAGCTTGCGGTTCTCCGGCGTGAGAATGGCTGACGTCCGCTCAGCGCCCATGAGAATGCGGTCTTTCGCGAAGTCGAGATGCTTCGCCCCAACGCTCGCCACCCCGTCGAGCGCCGCCTTAAGCGCGGCTATGTTGATGAGGTTCGCCAAGTCGGCGCCGCTAAAGCCTGGCGTTCCTCGAGCGACGACATCGAAATCGACGTTTTCATCAAACTTGACGCCCCGCGCGTGTACTCGTAAGATGTCGCGTCGGCCACCGACGTCTGGATTAGGAACGGATACCGTTCGGTCGAACCGTCCCGGGCGTATCAGAGCTTTGTCCAGCATTCCTGGCGTGTTCGTAGCGGCGAGGACGATGACCCCCTCGCTCGCCTTGAACCCGTCTAGCTCCGTCAAGAGCTGATTCAACGTCATGCGCGTGTTTTGCTGATCCTTCGGATTCCTCGCGGCGCCGACGGCGTCGATTTCGTCGATAAAAATGATGCACGGTGCGTTTTGCTTGGCAGCTTTGAACAAATCGCGCACGCGCCTCGCGCCAACGCCGACGAACATTTCCTCAAACTCGCTCCCGCTCGTGTAGAAGAACGGCACACCAGCCTCCCCGGCGACGGCTTTGGCGAGCATCGTCTTACCCGTCCCCGGGGGTCCGACCAGAAGCAATCCCTTCGGTAGCTTCCCGCCTAGTTTTGTAAATCTCTCCGGCTCCTTGAGGTATTCGACGATCTCGACGAGCTCAGCCTTTGCTTCGTCGACGCCCTTGACGTCGTCGAAACGCGTCAACGGCGCGGTTTGCTGCGGTTTCGCGCTCTCGCCTCCTAAAATCGCTTTGCTCATCCCCCCACGGTCTTCTAACAGCGCGCCGATTCCACTCAGAACGATGAACGCGGTGCCGAGCGTTCGCACGGTTCGCCACAGCTGCGCCTTGAAGGTCGGCTCGAGCTGTTGCGTGTACAGCGGATTCTTCTCGCTCCCGAGCACCGCGCTCGCCGCGGCGGCGGCGGCGCCCGCTTCACCTCCCCCGACGCCGCGTTGCGTGAAGATCGATCCCAGCGAGTTGATGATTCCTGTGTTCAACGCGCTCCGTGCGCTCTCCGTCCCCGTCGCGCCCCTGTGCACCGCCGCCGCGAGCGCGCTCTCGTGCACTCGATTCGCGTGCACGAGCGCCTTGAGGTACTCCGCGGTGTCTCGCTCGCTCGCCTCGACGCTTCTCGACTCGTACATCGCGATCACTCTCGCGTGTTCACCCCGCGCGTTGAGCTCGCGGAAGGATTCACCGCTCGAGGATGCGCTCGTGGACGTCATCCGCGTCGTCGTCGTCGTCGACGCGCGGCGCGCGAGCGCGCGCGCGAGCGCCCGCGCGCGCATCGCGAACCGATTCCTCGCGCGCGCGCTCGAGCGATCGCGCGCGCGTCGACGTGCGCGCTCGAGCGTCGAGCGATGCCGACGACGACGTGCGAATGCGTCCACCTCGCGCGTGGACATCGTCCAAACGATGTGAATCATCCGCACTCGCGAACGCGTGCGCGCGAACGACCGAGCGCGAACGACCGAGCGCGACCGAGCGCTTCGCGCGCGTCGATGAGCGCCGCGAACGAGCTGTCGCAGCGCATCGTCGGCGTCTCGCACGACGACGTGGAGGGCGGCGCGAGCGTGGCGCCGAATGGGTCGACGAGCGATGGGGTTTTACGCGCGTCGACGATCACCGACAATGGGGCGAACGAGCGACGGACGGCGAAGCGACAGCGCGCGCACTCGCATAATTACAGTGGGCCCACGCCGAGGGCGGTGAAGGCGTTCTTGGTGGCGAGCGTGGTGACGCTGCTCGCGCTCATCACCACGGCTGCGACGTCGGGGAAAATTGAAGCGCTGCGAGAATCTCTGTCGCAGTACGGCGCCGAGGAAGGGAACTCGGGTGGGCGGGTGGTAATGGATGGGAGTGCCCCGCGACGTGACTGCGGGGTGACGCAGGAGGCGTGGAACAAAGCCACGGGACTTGACCGACACGACCCGTGTAGAGACGTTTCGGCGCGAGGGAGCGGATCAATCAAGGACGCGTACGATGCCATCAAGGGTGATGGTGAGAATTCATGGGCACTCGTCACCGGTGGCGCGGGTTTCATCGGTAGTGAGGTGGTCAGGCAGCTTTTGGACATCGGAATGCGCGTGCGCGTCCTGGACGATTTGAGCACCGGATCGCCGGCAAAGCTTGCGTTCGCACAGGCGGCGCAAAAGGAAGGAAGATACGCTTTCGTCAAGGGAGATGTTCGCAAGTACGAAGACGTCTCGAGAGCTATGAACGGTGTCGACTTCGTTTTTCATCTCGCCGCGGTGAGCAAAGTGAAGCCCACGCTCGATTTCGGGCGCGAGGATGTCGTCTTGGCGTGCGTCGAATCGAACGTTCGCGGGACGGAAAATGTACTTAGGGCGACTCGAGCGAGGGATAGTGGTGGGGATCGACGCGCTCGCTTTGTCTACGTGGGTTCATCGACGTATTACGGGAACCAACCTACGCCGTTCGACGAGGAGCGGACGCATTTGCGGACGACGACGTCGCCGTATGCGACGACAAAGGCGCAGGGAGAAGATTTAGCGCGTTTATACTACTCGTTGTACGGCGTCGAGGCTGTCGTAACGAGGATATTCATGGTGTATGGGCCGGGCGAACCAGCAGAGGCCGAGCAGGCGGTCGTGACTGGTAGATTCTTCGCAGCGGCATCGAAGGGCGATGCGCTCGAAATCGAGGGCGACGGGTCGCAGTTTCGAGATTTCATTCACGTTAGTGATGCCGCTCGAGGTATCGTCCTCGCTGCGTTTGCCGAGGGCGCTCCAGGGAGGACATTTAACATCGGTTCCGGTAAGAGCACGACAATTCTCGACTTGGCTAAGATGATTTCGAAAAGACACACGTTCGTTGATGCGCGCGAGCCAGATTTGAAGGGCACGCTAGCTTCCACGTGCGCCGCCAAGCGCGTGCTTGGATTCGAAGCGAAGATGTCCTTGACGGACTACATCCGTAAAACGAAGCGCGAGCGCAGTGCATGATTCGCTGTGTCGAATTTATTGAGATACCTAGGTAGCTGGCGGTAATTCAAAAGAAACATGTCGCAAGGGAAACTAAGATTGAGGCGCCGAGCTTTTCAAAGCACCACGCGTAATTGGCAACGCCAGTTTTGTCATCTTCCGGATAACGACCCTGGAAGTGTGACGAACGAACGACGACCTGGACCGGCCCTTGTCACCATCTGTAATCCGCCAAACGCGGGTCCGCGGACGGGTAATTTGCGTCCTCTCGTCGATTTTGTATCCGAGTCGGGCGCCGGCGACGGCGCAAGCGCGTCATCAAAATCGTCCTCGTCAATTCCATGGTCACCGATTTCGACGAGCTCGAAGTGTATCTCGACGGTCGACGCCGAAACATCATGTTCTACGGCTTCAACGTAGTTTTTGTATCGCTCAAGAACTTCACTGCCGCTCATGAGAACGCCACCTTCTTCTTCCTTCGTCTCGTGCAGCGCGACAAAATCGCAGAAGAAACCAGTCTCCGCCTCCGAGGCGTCAGAGAGTCCACACTTTCCAACGTCTTTACCCGCGTACGGAACTTCGTTTTTGCATCGATCTGGGTACAAAAAACCGCAAACGTGCATCGCGTGTAACTCAGCCTCACCGTTTGGGACGTACAGCACGAAGGAAATTTTCTGCGTGGTTTCATTGCTGGGCCACTTCACCGCCAGCAGTGAGCCAAGAATGTCGAGAGCGTCAGTGTCCTCGAACGAAGCCTCCGCCTCGCGCTCGATAAACGGTTGAAGGGAAACATCATCCATGAGATTTCCGTCATTTGTAAGCATGTTCAGCGATTCCATAGCCTCGTAAACGTCGTCCGCGATCGAATCTGGTAACGCGTCAAAGTACACGTTTGTCACAACGGGTGAGCCGCTCGCCCGAGGGACGAGAATGGCCAGGAGAACCAGCGAGACGACATGTATATGCGTGCACATCGCGTTCAAACTTATCATGTGAGGGATTTTCGTGTTCGGAACCGATCGTTTTGGGTGACTTACTATGGCGTCGCGCGTGAGATATTCACATATTTCAACTTTCCCGAGAAGCGCGCGCATCACGGCGACGACAAGCACAACGAACCAATTGATTCCTGTCGTCTAAGCGATAGAGACTTTCGTGCCGACATGAGCCGACGCTCGTGTTGATGCTGCACGTCGAACGCACCAAAAATATCGAGATGGTAACGAGACTTCTCCAACTCATTGAAAGCCGCTTCGCCGCCTAAAATGTCCAACATAGCGCCGCGAACGCTTGTCTCGATGCGGACGTCCCCGCAAACGTACACGTGCGCGCCGCGTGAGATAAGATCCATCAGGTCGTCAGCATGTTCGCGCAGCACGGTATCGACGTACGTCTTAGGCACGCCTGGTTGACGCGAGAAACCTACGAGATACTTTGTCAAATGACCGAGATGCACGGCTTCATTGAACTCGGTTGCGTAGAGTTGATTGTCTTGACTGCGGCAGCCTGCGATCAACCACGCCTCTCCTCTTTCTCCCGGATTCAACGTCGCAAAGTGTTCGACGAAGCCCTTGAATGGGGCTATACCGGTGCCACCGGCGACCATGATTATAGGTGCCTGCGGCGAGCGAGGCAATCGAAAGGACGGCGCCGGCCGAAACTCAACCGTGACATTCGCGCCGATCGGCAGCGTAGCGAGAAAATCTGAGCAGAAGCCAAGGTGCATTCGAGCCCCCGCTCCGGACTTGTACGTCACCCGCCCGACAGTGAGCGCAAAAACGTTGTTCCCCGCATGCTGCGGCGAGCTTGAGACGGAATAATAGCGCGGTCTCAACTTCGGAATTTTTAGAATAATATCACGCAGCATGTCGAGACCCACGGCCTTGTCGCCCCTGTGAAGAGTCGAAAGCGTCGGAAAGTGCTCAAAGATGGAAAATATTCTCGCGCCGGTCATCTCAGCCCAGTCTTGACGAGCGTCTTCGTTGAAAGCTATCTCCTCGAGAAACTCCTTTACCTCGTCGTCGTCGACGTAGTGCGCGAGAGCGCTTAAAAGAGCAGCTGAAGCTTCGCCATTGATGTCCAGTACCCTGGTGAAAAGGTGTTCGACGCTCACGACGTTCGGAATGGCCGGATCGATGGACTTTTTCACTAATAACGCATCACTCTTCGGAACAAGCTCAAGAACGTCTCTGAATGTCAGACCAAAGTGCGCGGCAAAGTATCGCGCTCGTGCCTCGCTCGTTTGCGGCCACACCGCGACGTGATCGCCGGGTTTGTAATATTGTACTTCTTCGCGCGCGTGAATCAGCCTAAACTTCAACCACACGGTGTTCATTCGAGCACCGTTCCCGGTTATGGCTCGATCAATCAATTCCGCAGCGATTCCGTGCTGCACCGTCGGGCCGAGATGGATTCGTCCATTGACATCCTGCCGTCGAACTTTGAGCGTAAAAGCGGGCTCGATGGCCACACCGCCATTGATTTGATCAACCATCAAGTCGCGAAGAGATCGAGGAATGCGATCGGCGTCGAGAAGCCAATCAAACAACCGCATGGTGTAGCTATGTACCGACGCGTCTTCACCGTTGAGCTGATCACATCGAGTGATTGGAAACATCGCTACCGCGCCGGCCGCCGCGAGCGCGGCGGCAAATTGCTCGCCGCCGGCGCAGAATTTCGGATACGCACGTGATCCGAAGGCACAAACAGCGAAGTATTTACCTCGCAACGCCGTGCGACCGTGTTCGGTCTTCGTCCACTCGATAAAACTATCGGAACCAGTTGGAACCTGACCCGAACCCGTCGTCGACGCGAGGAATAAAATAAATTCGACGTTTGATAAAAGATCAGTCAGAGGCACGTCTGGATTCGCCACGTTCACTGGTCGAACCATGGGCAACCTCTGGAACAGAAACGACCAGAGCCATGTCGCTCGAGACTGTGAGCGGCCGCCGTCCGAGGCGTAGAGCACGATTCCACCCTTCACCTTCAATTTGTTTCGTCGAAACTTCGCCGCGGCGATGGCGACACGAATTGACACTGTCGAAAACGCGTCCGAAGTGAGGAAGCCAGCATCCTTTGCGCGACGCAGAAGGGAGCGAAGCCCCATTCCACCAACCAAAGCCGGTTTCAGCGTGTACTCGGTCATCTTATTCAAACCCAAATATATCGACGATGTCGACGACGCCGTGGGTGGAACGATCCATTTCCAGTTTCCCGGAGCGTACCCGCGCGTCTTCAATTCCTCGACGTACCAATCGGCGAAGGCCTCCGCGCACGTGTGATGGTCGGCGATGCTCACTCTGTCCCGCTTAAATGAATCGAACACGGCGTAGTTGATCGCAGCCAGAGCGTGATCGCGCCATAGCGTGTCGTGCGTCGATGTATCTAGGCCCATGGCCTCGGCGATTTGCGGTAGAAGATTGTACCGCGACTCATCGCCAAAGTTCCGCGTCGCAATCTCCGTCACCATGTACCATCCGTTAAATGGTGCAGCCGTGTAGTGCAAACCTCCGAGATCCATGGTTATGTTCGACACCGCCGGTATACCGTACCACTTCAAACCGAGCTGAGAAATGCCACGAATCGTCGGGTGGCGAATGGGTACCTCAAGAAAGCACTGATCGGGAAGCGTGAACATGGCTGGCGGCGTCTCGGGATTTATTTGCACCACGATTGGCAGCGCGTCGAACATGCCAGTCTTTTCCGGCGCCCAGCCGAAGTGCTTCTTGAGAACATCTGTGAAGTCGACCTCCGCTGGATCACCCACGACCCCCCCGCTCGCGTCTCGATGCCCGGCGTATCGCATGAGCTGCGAGTTCCAAATTCTTGGCCCGTCGTTCGTCCCCGGCGTTTGCGGACGAAACACCGTCATGAGAACTGGGACGTGATCCGCCTCGACCCCGCGATGCAAATGTTCCTTAATCGCCTCAAACATATCCTCGTTCGTTGTCGCTCCTCTCGCATCGATGACGTCGAGCGTGGACCAATACTTGCGATTGATGCACTTCGGCGCGTTCCGCCACGCCACGCGCGCGCCGTGTCTAATCTCATCCAACGTGTGCGCGTACGTTCCAGTCTCTCTTATCGATGTCAGCACCTCATTCACTCTCATCTCCACCCTCTCGTCGTCCCATCCGTGTTCTTTACCGAACAAACGAATGTACTCCTCCGCCTCCCTCCGAAGAGCGCTCTCGGCGCTCTCCGTCGGTTTGCTCGGAGGCCGCGGGACGCACCCTCGCGGGCACACCCGCGGATTCTTCCCGTGCACGTACCCGGGATACGGATCCACCGTCACCTACGCCACGGTCGCGATCGTCGCGTTCGTCGTCAGTCGTCGCGCGCGCGTCGCGCGCCCACCGCGAGTACCCGTCTCTTCTCTTCGACGTAACCGTCGACGCGCGACCCGCGACGCGTCCGTCGTCCCCGTCACCGCGCCCATGGTCGACGCACCGTGCCGTGCGCGAACGGACATCGCGAGACCGGGACGTCGACGCCGTCGTCGTCGGTCGCGCCCGAGCCAACGCTCGCCATCGTCGCGCGAGAACGACGCGGACGATCGCGTCGGCGCCCGTGCGTTCGTCGCGCGCGACGGTGGCCACGCGCGACGGTGGCCACGCGAGACGGTGGCCACGCGCGACGGTGGCGACGCGCGACGGTGGCCACGCGAGACGGTGGCGACGACGCGAAGTGCCCGCGTCGATGCGTGCGTCAATTATTAACTGACGCATCGCGTGGGCACAATTCCGAGGGCGTGACTTCGAGACGCGTGACGCCGCCGCGCGACAGACGCGCGTCGCGCGCGCGGCCGTGCGGGGCGATGCGACGCCCGCGGTCGTCCGCGCGCGGTCGTTCGCGCGCGCGCGCGCGTGCCTCGGTCTCGCTCGTCGTCCTGGGAACGGCCGTCTTCGTTCGGTCGTGCGACGCGGCGACGACGTACGTGACGCTTCCGGTGGACGGGTCGTTTCACGGCGAGTACGAATCGATCGGAAGGGATGCGTGGACGTATTTTAAGTTTGCCGTGCCGACGCCGAGCGACGTCGACGTCGTCGTGGACGTTGAGAGCGGCGACGCGGATGTTTACGTACTGCCTCCGTGTTCGCCCGCGAGCGCGCCGTGCGACGATCCGAGCGACGTGGAGGGGAAGTACGCGTGGGCGAGTTGGCACGGGAGTGGACCGGAGGAGGTTTTCATATCTAGAGAGTTTGTCACGAATACATCCTTCGGGACGGATAAATTTTTTCGAGTGGGCGTGCACGGTTGGGCGCAGCACGGCTCGCGCTTTCGCATCTCAGTCGAGGCTGTTCCGGAGTCACGAGCGATGGTTAAGGACGAAAAGGATGCTTTAGATAGCATATATAACAAGTGTTGCAACGGTTCGGACTCGTGCGCTGGATGGAAGACAATCAAGAGCAGAGATTTGGACTACTGTCACTCGGGCCTCGCGTCGTGCACAAAGTCAAACTCGACGCGTCAACTAAATCTGCAAAGTCAGAGGATGGACTGCGAGCTCACAAGAGCTGATTTCGCCACTTTCGGATCTTCGATCACGAGATTATACCTGAATCAGCCGGCGAACCTGTCGTCGAAACTTACCTTTTCGTTCGGGTTGAACCAGACGCACTCGTCGATCGACTTGTTGTCCGTGCTCCCTAGTCTGTTCACGTTGAGCTTGTCGTACGCCGATTTAGGTGGAAGAACGTTGGAAAACGCGTTCTGTCGCGACGGTGTGAGCGCAAACCTGACAGAAATCTCCGTTACAGGCGCTAATCTCACGGGGGAGGTCCCATTGTGTCTGTTCCAACGCGTCCCAAAGCTCGAGGCGCTGTACGCGGATAGCAACCACTTTGGAGGAACACTTCCCGACTTACCTATGTCGGCAAACTTGCGAGCGTTGCATCTTTCGAATCAACGAACCACGACGAGAACGATTTCTGGCGCGATTCCATCATCGTACGCTTCATCCGTGACGTTGGAACACCTGTGGTTGAGCGGTCTGAACATGACGGGATCAATTCCTGACGTTTTCAACGTCTCCGCGGGACGTTTTCGGGATATAGACGTGAGCGAAAACCTCTTACGTGGGTCCATCCCAGCAACGCTGGCGCAGCAAGTGCACTTGGAATCGCTCCACATGGGCAACAATCAGTTCAGTGGGGCCGTGCCCGCCGGACTGTACGACCATCCCAGTCGACGCGTCGTCGACATCAAGTCGAACCAACTTACGGCGCTCAACGTAGCGTCAGCGCATAGTGATCTGGGTGCCTCCCTCATTACGCTGAACGCGGCGAACAACCGCATCAATGAGCCCGGCATACCTTCAGTACTGACGAGAATGCCGAAACTGACGTATCTTGATCTCTCAGGGAATGATCTCCACGGCGAAATCCTCAGCAACGCGTCCACAAATTCGTGGGCGTTATTGCAACTGGATGTGAGCTCGAACTCTTTGAACGGCACCATCCCTGATGCTTCGTACTGGGGCCAAATCTTCACTCCAGGTCCTCTCGATCGATTGTTTGACATCTCATCGAACTCGTACGAGAGCGTGCCGGACTGGTTAAATAGTTATGTCGGAATGTCGGGATTGACGATTCGCAAAGATCCGAGCGCTGCCGTCGCACCGACGGACGATGGGTCGGGGCTTACGAAATCTACAGCGCGCAATCGACCTTCGACTTTCTTGGTCATCGTTTTTGTCGTTGGTATCTCTACGCTGAGCACCGTCGCAGGGGTTCTGGCGTTGTACGTGCAGCGTTCGAGACGATTCTCGAACCAATTTCGACCATTTCAGACGGGTAACTTTCGCGGCGTCGAATTGACGTAGTCTTGCATCGCGAATTGAACTTTATTCTTTAAGCAATTGTATTTACAAGTTGTATCATGACTTGTGCGAATAAGCGCTCAAAGTTCGTCCTTAGGCGGTTCGGCGGCCGTTTCCTCGTCGGAGGCGGCAGTCTCTTCCTTTTCCTCGACGTGGAACTGCGTCTCGTCGATAAGCTCGGCATCCTTCTCGACACCCATGTTCATCTTGAGCAGATCGAACACGCGCCCGGCGTAGTCTCCCGGCTTATCGAAGCTGAAACCGGACTCCAACATTGCGGTTTCAAACATGAGCTTGGCCAACGCCTCATTCTCCGTTGAGTCTGGGTCACTGGCGGCTCGTTCCTTGAGGGCGGCAATCATGGGGTGTCTCGGGTTGATTTCGAGAGTCTTCTTGCCTCGCATGTACTCGTGCCTAGACTCGTCGCCCATGGCTTGCGCCTTCATGATTCGCTCCATGTTCGCGGACCAGCCATACTTGGACGAAACGACGACGCACGGGGTGGTGGAAAGGCGGTTAGAAACCTTGACAGCTTCGATGACGTTGTCCGGAAGCTTGCTCTTCCACCAAGTCGTGAAAGTTTTGAAAGCATCCTTGGTCTTTTTGAAGAGAGCCTTCTCATCATCGTCAGCGTCACCAAACTTGAGATCTTCCTTGCTAGCGTTGGAAAACTTGAAATCATCGAATTCGGTCAAGTTTTGCATCGTGTACTCGTCGATCGGATCGGTAAAATATATGACTTCAAGGTCCTTGGCGATGAGCTTCTCAAGGAACGGAGAGCTCTTGAGCGCATCAATGGACTCCCCGGTGATGTAATAGATCGACTTCTGCCCCTCCTTCATTCGTTCGACGTACTGCTCGAGAGAAACGAGTTTCCCATCGGATTTGGACGTTTGGAAACGAAGGAGCTTGGCAAGACGCACGCGATTACTCGCATCTTCGATAATGCCTAGCTTGATGGACTTGCCAAAGCTCTTCCAGAACTTTTCGTACTTTGTCTCCTCGTCCTTCTTCTCCACCTCTTCGCCTTCAGGCTTCACGCCATCGTCTTCGGCGTCTTTACCCTCTTCGGCGAGCTTGCGAATCATGTCGAGTGCCTTGCGCACGAGCTTTTTCTTGATGGTCTTCAGACTCGTGTGCTGCTGAAGCGTCTCGCGAGAGACGTTGAGCGGAAGCGTATCCGAATCGACGATTCCCTTGATGAAGCTCAAGTACTTCGGCAAGAGTTCATCGAACTCATCGGAAATGAAGACGCGTCGAACATACAGCTTGAGAGCACTCGCACGCGAGTAGTAGTTGTCGTAGAAGTCGTGCGGCGGACGTTCCGGAATGAAGAGGATTGCCTTGAACTCGACGTCGCCCTCAGCCTTGAAGTGAGAGTACGACAGCGGATCTTCCGTGCCCTTGGAAAGGGCGTGGTAGAACTTTGTGTACTCTTCTTCCTCGACTTCAGAGGAGGGTCGGAGCCAGATGGCCTTGACGTCGTTAAGACGCTCCCAGTCCCAAACGGTCTTGGTCACTGTCTTGGTCTTTGGCTCGTCGTCTTCGCCTTCTTCGCCTTCTTCGTCTTCTTCGTCTTCTTCTTCGTCGTCATCTCCTTCGTCGGCATCGTCCGATGCCTCGGCATCGTCCTTCTCGACCGGGACTTCTTCGGAAACTTCCTTGGAGTTGTAGAGGTAGATGGGGAAGTTGATGAACTCGGAGTAGCGTTCGACGAGAGCTTGGAGCTTGCTTTCTTCCAAGTACTCCTGGGCGTCCTCCTTGAGGTAGATGTTGATCTCCACCCCGCGACCGAGCGACTCGCCCTTGTCTTCGGAGATGGCGAAGTTACCGTCGGCTTTAGACTGCCAGACCCACTGCTTGTCGTCGTCGTTATGCTTGGAGCGAACCTCGACGAAGTCGGCGACGAGGTAGACAGAGTAGAAACCGACACCGAACTGGCCGATGAGGGACATGTCCCCACCCTTGGCCATTTGATCGAGGAACGCGGACGTGCCAGACTTGGCGATGGTGCCCAGGTTGTTCATCAAATCAGCCTTGGTCATGCCGACGCCTCGGTCGCGAATCGTGAGAACCTTGCGTTCCTTGTCCGCCTTGATGCGAATGTCCAAGTTCGCGTTCTCCCCGCTTCCGAGCTGCTCCTTATCCGTCAATGACATGAAGCGAATCTTATCGAGCGCGTCCGAGCCGTTCGAGATGAGCTCGCGCAGGAAGATGTCCTTATTCGAGTACAGAGAGTTGATGATGATGAGTCGAGACACCTCGGCTTGGAACTCAAACTTCTCCGACCCTTCCGCGAAATCCGGCACCGCGTTCGCGGTGTCCACGACGTCATCCGAAGCGAGCGCTGCGCGCGCGAACACATCGCGATCGGCGTCAGTCGTTTCATCGTCGCGCCCGTCGCGCGGTTCGATCGTGTCCACGTTTTCGACACCGTTCATTCGCTCGCGATGGTGACATCATCGTCCGCGCCGCGCACCTCGTCCGAAACCCGCGAGGGCGATGCAGGAGAGCGCGAACGCGAACGCGCGAGCCCACGAGCTCGCGCGTCGTCGCGATTGCCGTCCGCGACCGGTGCGCATCGCTCGAGCGACGCGATCTGCGAGGCGTGGCGCCGCGCGCGTGGGCGTTTACGTCAGTGCTCGAATTTGATTGGCTCACGGACACCTAAACCGATCGCGCCATGCATTGTCACCGCCACCGTCCGCGGCGCGGCCTGCGAGGCGAACGGTGGACGTCGAGAGACGACGCGCGCGCGGACGAACGCGCGCGCATTCGCGAGGGAACACGTATTCGGTCCGTCGTATAGATACGGTGCCCGTCGAGCGCGCACGGGGCGTGAGCGAGTCGCGCGCGTCGGCGTCGCTCGAACGGCGCCGAAAGCGTCTCGTCGAGCTGGCGCGTAGACGTGACATCATGAGCTACAGGTGATGCCGGAGTGACGCGCGCGATCGTGCGCGAGACGATACATGATGTCGACGGCGCGATGGGCGACGAGACGCGCCGATGCGTCGACGACGACGAAATCGTGACGGACGTCGTCTTCGACGGTGGATACGTCGACGCCGAGCGCCTCGAGCGCGTCGCGCTGGTGAAGTGGAGCCCAGTGATCGTCGTGCGCGTACAAAGCGGCGAATCGCCCGGGAGCGTTGGCGCTCGCGATGAGCTCGCACTCGTCGATGGGTCGCACCAAGGCGACGAACTCTGTTCGACCCATGAAAACCATATTAATCAGGCTCTGCCATCGCAACCACGCGCCGGTGATCTCCGCGGCGACCGCGTCCATGTTTTTCGTCACGGTTCGTCTGAGCAACGCCGCGCGGACGAACGGTACCGCCTTCTTCAGGCCGTCTAGGGCGCCTCCGATGGCGTGCGCGAGGAAGTTCAATCTCGTCACGACGCCCAGCGCGCGCTGCAGCGCGCTCCGCCGGTTGACGTGTAAAAACGGCATCAAACCCACCACGCCGTCGATGCGATCGAATCCCAGCTCTTTCGCCGTGAACAACGCGAGATGCGCACCGATGGAGTGACCGACGACGACGCACTCGCGCCTGTCGTCCGAGCTCGCCCGCAGCGTCGCGTCCACGTAATCGCGCACGTGCGCCTTTTGCTCATCCAGCGTGAACCACTCGCGTCGTCCCGGTCTATCCCGCTCGGTGTGTCCCAGATATCCAACGACATCCACCGCGCGCGCGTCCAGTCGTTCGCTCAGGGACGACGCGAACGTCTCGTAAAACCTTGCCACGCCCGGATTCCCCGGCACCACGAACACGCGCGGTCCGCGTCCGAGTTCACGTTCGACGCGCACGACCTCGTACTCGCACGACGCGATCGTGACGTTCGATCGTCTCACCTCTGACGACTTCACCGCACGTTCGACGACGGACGACGACGACGCGTTCGACGACGACGACGCGCCGACCCGAGCATCCGCCGCGCGCGCGCGTCTCGGCGAGGCCAAGGATGCGCGCGCGACGCGAGACGCCGTCGCGCGCGTCGTCGTCATCGACGCGCACGCGACGCACGCGGAGGCGCGGTCGTGGACGGACGACGACGCCGGCGTCTGGCGCGCGGGTGCTCGCACTGTGATTGAATTAAAAGAGAAGACGGTTCGCTTTGCGAGCGACGCGCGCGCGCCCTAGGCGCTTCCGGACTTCCAAGGCTTGAGAACCGGGAGTAATATAGATATGAGGACGATGAGAAGGATTATCATGACGCAGCACGCCCACTTGCGCGTGCTCTTCTGGTACTCTCTCGCCTTTTTCAACTCGACGTGGCCCTGTTGGACGTAGACGACGGATTTCGCCACGTGGCTCTCGATCGAGTTGATCATCTCGCCCTGCGCCTCGACGAGAACGGACATGTCCAAAAAGATTTGATTGAGCTCGAGTAACTTTCTCTCGAGCTCACGAATGGCGTAGTGTCGATCTTGAATCTCGTTCACGGTGTCCAGAATTTGTCCTCTGCCTCGCTCGAGGAGCGCCGTTTGGAACATGGTCTCGCTCTCCCCCGTCTCGATGAGTCGGTCAATCTCTTCCTCCGGCGCCACCGAGCCCGTGACGGCGTAGTATCGTCGCTCGACGATCTCCTTGTACTCCACCCTCAATTGCTCTCGCACGTTTTGAAACTCTCCCAATTGTTCCTTCAGTTTCGTCTTGAGCGAAGACGCGAGCGCCGCGCGCGTGCGTTCCTCGCTCGACGACGGCGCAATCTTCCCACTCTTCACCGCCCGCGCGTTATCCTCGTCCAAGTTTTCCAATCGCAACTTGGCCTCTCGTGCCACTTTATTCACTCGCTCGATCGTCGCGTTCATCCGTTCCTGTCGCTCGCTCGCCTCCTCCGCCGTGGCGCTTCGTTTGCTCTCTTCGCGGTCCGCGTCCAGCTCGATCAGGGCATTTCTGATTTCTTTCAGGTTTTGTTTCACCGCTCGCACGTCGTCGAAGAACACGCGCATCAACTCGCTCGCGCCGTCGTCTTCGCCGGACGAGCCCGCGGTGTCGCGCTCGATCGCGCGCGCGGTCGACGAGGACGTCGTCGCGATTCGAACGTCATCCTCATCCCGTCCTCGCGGGTCTCTCGACGCGCTCTCGAACGGGTTGGGGCGAACGGTTCCCATGAGATCGTTCATGACGATCGTGCGCGCGCGTTCGAGACGTCGGGACGACCTCGGAGGCGCGGTGACGAGGGCGAAGGAATGAGGCGAAGGAGCGACGCGTTTCGACTCGCGGAGCGCCGTTCGCGTACACTTTACAAATCTCTCTCCGTTCTACTCGTCGTCGTCGTCGACATCCATGAACTCGGCGAAATCACCCAAGTCTTCTCTCTCCTCGACGTCGGTCGCCTTGGCGGTTTTGACCTCGAACGCGACGTCGGCGCGCGCGCCGTCGGCGACGTTGGTCGGCTCGCTCGCGGCGATGGCGGCGCGCGCCGCCGCCGCCGCCGCGGACGCGGCCGCCATCGCCTCCGCCTCGCGCTCGAGCTCGAGCGCGCGTTTGACGTCGCGTTCGTGCGGTGGACCGATGTCCCAGTTATCCGCCAACAGATTCATCTCCGTCGGGACGTGAATCCCGGGTCTGTTGCTCACCTTTGGAAGCGGCTTCGCGTTCACCCGCGACGCCAAGCCTCTGGACATCGCCGCGCTCGGTGGATCGATAAACGACCGCATCAACACCGCTTTCACGCCAACCTTGACGTCGTCCACCGTCAAGACGTCTCGCGCGCTCGCGGGGCGTCCCAGCGCGTGCGATCGCGCCGCCGCCGCTTCGACCAACACCTCGCTCGTCGCCCGATGCGCGAACTCCATCCCCTGCGCGATCACGCGCTTCTCGCAATCGCGCACCCCCATGTCTCGCAGTATGGCCTCGATCGTCACCGCGTCTCGAGGGATCGTCCCGTCGTCGGCGTCGTCGTCGGCGACATTCGTCGTTCGCACCGCCGTGGCCTCGAGCGCGCGCACGAGGGATGCGGGCTCGTCCGTCCCGTGCTCGACCTCGCGTTCGTCCTCGGCGTCGACGTCCGCGGCGTCCATGGTGCGAGACGTCGCGCGAGGCGTCGTCTCGCGATCGATGGCGCGTCGAGTGATTTTATTTTTTTAACGAAGACGTCGCGATGACGCACGTCGCCGTGACGCGTCACACGTCGTCACACCGCGACGACGACGACGCGCGCGCGATGGGGGATCAAGCGCGCGCGCGCGCCTCGCACGTCCTCATCAAACACCGCGAATCGCGGAATCCAACGAGCAGACTCGACGCGAGCGGTGACATCATCCGGGGACGAACGAAGAGCGCGGCGATCGAGGAGTTGTTGGCGCACAGAGAACACATCGCGAGCGGACGGTGCGCGTTCGAGGACGTGGCGACGCGCGTGAGCGATTGTTCGAGCGGCAAGGTGCGTGATGGAGCCGATGGAGACGCGGGGGGGACGACGAGCGGGGCGCGACGCGAAACGCGGCGACGGATGACTAACGACGACGCGCGGCGATTCGACAACCAGCGGGGAGGTGATTTAGGCGAGTTCGGGCGCGGGCAGATGCAGAAACCGTTCGAGGACGCGACGTTCGCTCTGGCGGTCGGGGAGATGAGCGGGGTGGTGGACACGGATTCGGGCGTGCACGTAATCTTACGCACCGGCTGAAGACGCCGCGCGCGACGAAATAATGAGAATACGGTACCGGTACTCTTGAATAACACGACGACGACGACGACGACGACGACGACGACGACGACGACGACGACGACGACGACACGTTTAGATTCACATCATGAGAGCGAACGAGGCGAGGAGGGCGACGACGAGCGTCGTCGCTCTTCCGGCGGCGCTCTTCGCGTCGCACGCCGTGTGCGTCGCGCCCGCCATGAACATGGAGCCCGGCATCGCGTGCGACCCGGCGGGTTCGCAGTTCATCGCCACGCTCTGCTGCGTCGCGTCCGCCGCCGTCATTTTCATCACGTTCGAGGTATTGTAACACGTGAAATTTCCAAAGATCGCCTTCGCCCCCGTCGCGTTCGCGCACTCCGCGTCGCACTTGGCGCTCGCGCACCCCTCGTACGTCGAGTCCGAGGATCCGCACGCGTTGCTCAGGACGTACCCCGCGCCGCATCCCGTGCTTCCACCCGCGCCACCGACGCACGTCGCCGTGCACGCGTACTCCCCCGCGAGCGCGGTCGAGGCGAGCGCGGCGAGGACGAGGACGACCGTCGTCATCGGGCGCGGCATGGAAAACCCGCGTGTGCGAATCATCGTCCGTCGCCGTCTCCGTCCCGCGCGCCCGCGTCTCGCGCGCTCGTGAGATCGATCGCGGGTAAATACGCGCGCGCGCGTCCGTCGCGCCCGTCGCGCGCGCGTGTGCGGCGGCGCGACGACGGGGGCGACGCGGGGGCGCGGACGGCGGTCGGGATATCGGGTATTTTAGGGTGGATCACGTTTTAGGGTTTAGGGTTTTGCGCGCGTCGCGGGACGCCATCGACGACGACGACGACGACGACGACGACGGCGACGACGACGACGACGGGCGACGGGAGACGACCGCGGGCGCGCGGTGCGCGAGGGAATCGAACGGCGCTCGGGAGACGCGCGACGGCACACTTGGTGAAGCGCGGACGAGGGAATGACGCCCGAGCGATGCGAGGCGGAGCTTCGATCGATGGCGACGAAGACGAGCCCGATCGTGCGGTTCATGATTGAAAAGATGCGCGAGGCGGGATGCGCGATCGATGCGAGGTTTTTTCGCGTCGAGCGGTGCGAGGACGCGGTGGTTGGGGGATTCCGACCGCCGGACGGGGTGGTCATGTGTCACAATCAGATTCACGACAGAACGACCATGGAGAACATGTTGGCGCACGAGTTGATACACGCGTACGATCAGTGTCGAGCGGGGAAGAAGATGAATTGGTTGGACGTGAAACAACACGCGTGCTCGGAGGTGCGGGCGGCGAATCTGAGTGGGGATTGTCACTACGTGAACGAGTTGATGCGCGGGCGCGTCTTGTTCAACGTCGGGGGGCATCATCAAAAGTGCGTGCGCAGACGAGCAGAGCTGTCGGTGGCGATGAACCCGAACTGTAAGAGCGCGCAGCACGCGAAAGAGGCGGTGGACGAGGTGTTCGAGCGGTGTTTTAACGATACGGCGCCGTACGATGACATTCCGTAGACGTATCGAGGGAGACTGTAAACTTGTAAACAGATTTAGTTCTTAGTGTTGACACTCGGAAAACTACGCTAATGAATCTCGATATCCGACGTTCGACGCGTGACACGAGATCCGCCATCATGTTGCAACTCGCTCCACGCGTTTACTTCATCAGTTCTTGCGCGAAGAGGACGCCAAACTTGCCGAATCGAACGGCGACGTCGAGGACGCCGCCGACGGTTGGCATCTCAAAGCGCACCGGGGTCTCGCGCGACGCCGTGCCCTCGTAGAACGAGCCCTCACTCGTGCGTTCCGGCAAACCCGGGCCAAACGCCGGGTGTTCGAGCAACGCCGCGAGGAGCTGCGTCCCTCGAAGCGCGTTCGTGAGCGGCATGTGTCCCTGCGCCGCGTCCGCGCGCCATTGAAATTCTTGCGGAAACTTCCTGTAATCTCCGTTTTCACCCGTCGTCCAGTCAATCTTCTTGAAGAACTTCGCCCACTGTCTCTTCTGTCCGATCCAAATCTTCCGCTGCACGCTGAAACCGAATCTTCCGTTACTGTAGTACTTCCAAAGCGCGTCGATGGTGCGCAAATCCGTCACCGGCATGTTATCCACCTCGGTGAAGTACACCCACTCGCGATCCTCCGCCTCTTCGCCCGCCAAGACGCACATCAACCGCCGGTGTTCGTCATCAGCTTTTTCCCACTCCCCCGCCTCGAGCAAGGCTCTGAACGGTTCGTAATCCACGCCAATCTGCTCGCGCGCCGCGTCTCGCGTCTCGTCAGTCTGAGTGGATAGGGTCGCGCGCCTCGCCTCCGCGCCTGCATCGCCGACCCCCGCGCGCCCTCTCGAACGACGCCGAGGCGCGGTGCGCGCGAGACATCCATGCGGTACATCTCCGGCGCTCTACATCCCTCCCGTCCGTCGCGTCGTCGCGCACGCTCGGGTACGACGCGTTTCGATCGCACCTCGGACGCGAGCTCGGGCGGGGCGGGTTTTCCATCCTCCGTCGTCGCCGTCGACGACGTCCCGCTCGTCGCGGACGATCGCGCGGGGTGGGAAGATCGTCTACGACCGACGCGCGCGCGGGCCGAGCGCGGTGACGCGCGAGCGACCGCGGCGGGGACGCGAAGGGAGACGGACATGGGATGGGATATCCGACGATTCGCGGCGAGGCGAGCACTGCGGCGCGGCGAAGACGCGTCGAAGGCGAAGGACGCGAACGAGGGAGCGATGGAGACGGTTTTTTGAATGACAACGCGTCAGAGGAAAACTTCCGGTCTCGAAGCTTCCTCAAAGGCGTGGTAGGCGTCGTAGACGACCTCGTATCGGCTAAACGTCGGGTGGTCGCGCACGCGGTCGTTTCGCAAGAGCCACAAGAGATGCGACGTGGCGACGACGCACATCGACCCGAGGATCCAATCGAGATTTTCTAACGCAAAATATTGCGTAATGCTCACGTCGTATCGTAAAGATATCACGATGTACGCGATGGAGGTGGCGTAGGAGACGATGACGACCAACCAAGCCGCGGCTTCGACGCGAATCTTCTTCGTGAGCAGGAGCGCGCACGCCAACACTCGCGATCCATCCATCGGGTAGCACGGCAGAAAGTGCCAACACAAGAACATCGCGTTTAAACCAGCCATCCAACGCGAGAACTCCGCTATGATGCCGGGAGTCACCTTTGAGAGTACATACCAGGCGACTAACATCGGCGCGTGCGAGAGCGGACCGGCGAGCGTCACCACCAACTCCTGCGACAGCGTCAGACCGTCTAGGTGCAAGAAGGCGAGCGCGCCGAACGGCCACAGCAAAATACCCTTATCCTCATCCACGCGTCCTCCGAAGCGTTTACACATCACCACGTGCGCGAGCTCGTGCGCGAGCATCGTCCCGTATCCGCACGTGAACATGACGCTCAGGAACAAGAACCAAATCATCGACGTCAGGATAAACCGCGCGATCGTCAATTCAAACACCGCGGCGCTGATCAAGATCAACAACGTGTAAATCAACATCCACAGGTACAGCGTCCACGTCGAGACGAACACGTTCACATCGCCCACGGTGAACCAAAACTTTGGCGCCAACCACCTCTCGTACGCGTCCTCGCGCGCGAAACTCCCCTCGACCTCATCCTCTCCGTCCCCACCGTCTCCTCGCTCGACGTCCGATGCGCTCCCCGCGTCATCTCGCATTCGTAACGCCACGACATCATCCATCGCGAGCTCTAATCCATCCTCCACGATCGGCGTCACCGCGACGTGTGCGTTCGACGCCTCCGCTCGCTCGTCGTCTCCGAGATCTTTCATCGACGACGACGACGACGCGTTCGACCGCCCGTGCGCGCCGTCACCGAGCAACGACCGCGCGGCATTCTCTTCCCCGTCCTCGCCTACGTCGTGCATCCCGCGCGACGTCGCGTCGACCTCTATCGACCGCGAAGCGTCGACCGCTGCGCGACGTCGATGCGAACACGCGACGACGCGTTCGACCCCGCACACGCGCGCGCTCGACGGACGCGCGGACGACGGCGATGCGCGCGCGGTTCGAGGAAAAAATCACCCATCGAACGGTGGCGGCGCTGCGCGCGCGCGGGCACGCCGTGATCGATGATTTCTTGCTCGACGTCGACGCGAATGCGTTTCGCGACGAGCTCGAACGGTTGTCGATGTCACGGGACGAGGCGAACGGGCGTCGATACGTGCGATCGAATCGGACGCAGTTCGGTGATCGAGGGAGGCATTCGAAGCCGAACGTGTACGAGTGCGACATGCACGACGAGGAGACGGTGGGGGAGACGCGCGGGTCGGAGGCGTACGCGACGACGTGGCGGTTCTTCGACGCGACGGCGAGCGGGATGGCGAACGCGTTCGTGCGCGTGGCGCCAGAGATGCGATTACGAACGGGAAACTTGTCGAGGACGGTGAAGTTGCAGGTGAACGAGGGGGGCGGGGCGTGCTTTCCGTGGCACTTTGATAATCCGTCGGCGCCGTCGAACCGGGCGCTGACGTGCATACTGTATTTGAACCCCGAGTGGAAGCGAGGTGACGGCGGGGAGATTCGGTTTCAACCGTTTTGTGGCGTCGCGACGACGGTGGCGCCGAGACACAATAGATTGGTGATATTTTGGAGCGATCGAACGCTTCATCGAGTGATGCCGTTTCACGGAACGCGCCGGTACGCGGTGACGGTGTGGCTCGACGGCGATTTCGTCGACGAACGAACGGGCGTATCGACGAACGTGTGCGAGCTCAATCTCTCGACTCGAGAGGCGTTGGATGACATCGCAGCGACGGCGAAAAAATTGGCCGCTAGCAACATCCAGCGCGCGCTTTCGCGCGCCGTGTATGCGGATGAATACGAGGCGTCGCTCGTGGAGTGCATGGGGAACGCGCCGGGGGCGATGGAGATGCTCGAATCGCACTACGAGCACTGCAGAGAGGTGAAGAAAAACAAAGCTTTAAAGGCTCTCGTGGATGCACTGCGCGAATATCGTCGTGAGGTCGAGGCGAACGGTCTCGAGGTGAACGTTCCGTAACGTCGTCTCGCGAGACGACGGTCGCGTAGCGAGAACACTTAGTGTCGTGTAGGAATCTAGAAATCTTAGTCTTCGTCGTGCGCGTGGTGGCTCAATCCATCAATCGATAATGACAATCGCAAGCGCTAGTCGGGCGAATAATGTTGTTGAATGTTGAAATAAGGGTACGGAGACGACGTCGCTCGTCAGTACGTAATCGTCTTGGAGACGTCGAAGAAGTGCTTGACCGCCTCTTCGGGAGTTCCCACGAGCACGCCGTGACCGAGGTTGAGGACGTGTCCGGTCGGGCCCGCCTTGCGGCACACGTCCCGAACGGCCTTTTCGATCGCGTCGTCCCCGGCGAAGAGAACTACCGGATCGACGTTGCCCTGCACCGCCTTGTCGCCGACGCGGCGTCTACCGTCCTCCATGTCGATCGTCCAGTCCAAACCGATGGTGTCCACCGGGAGAGTCGCCATGCGCTCCAACAGTCCGCCCGAACCGTTGGCGTAGAGCGTGATCGGCACTCCTGGGTGCGTTTGCTTCACCTTGTTCACGACGCGCTCGATGTACGGCTTGCTCCACTCCTCCCACATGTGCGGCGGCAGTTGCCCCCCCCACGAGTCGAAAATTTGAATAACCTGCGCCCCCGCGTCGATTTGAAATCCAATGTACACCGCCAACGCGTCCGCGACGTGCGACAACAGCGTGCGCAGGACATCCGGAGCGGTGAAGCACATGGACTTGATGGTTTTGTACGTGCTCGTCGACTTCCCCTCGACGATGTACGTGCACAGCGTCCACGGCGCGCCGACGAACCCGAGAACAGCCGCTTCGTCTCCGACCTCTTGTCTCAAAATCTTCAGCGCGTCGGCGACGAACTCCACCTTGGACAGATCGACCTCGCGAAGCATCTTCAAATCCTCCTCGGTCGTAATCGTCTTCTCCAGCATCGGTCCTTTGTAGTCGTCAATCTCGAAATCGATCCCGAACGCCGGAAACGGGGTCAATATATCGCTAAACAAAATCACTCCATCCGGTTTAAACGCCCGAAACGGCTGCATCGTGATCTCGACGATCAAATCCGTGGTCTCGCTCCGCTCCCGAAAGCTCGGGTGCTTCGCCGCGAGGTCGCGATACTCCTTCATGTATCTCCCCGCTTGTCGCATCATCCACGCCGGCGCTCGCTCGACTTTTTCCCCTCGCGCCGCGCGCACCATCAGCGCGTCTTGAGAGCCATCCGCGCGCGCGATCACGCGTCGAGACGATCGTTGCGCGGTCGACGACGGCGACGATCGACGCATTCGCAGCGATCGTCGCTCGCGCGCGTTCGCCGACGCACGCGCGAGCGACGACGCCGCCATCGCGGTCGAGCGCGTGACGTGACGCGTGCGCGTTCTCGAGGACGTCGCGCGCGCGTTCGCGATCGCGCGCCGGGCACTGCGGGTGACGCTCGAATCAATCATCAACGATGACTCTTTATCCGTCGGGCGCGCGGATAAAACGAACGCGCGCGCGACGGACGGGCGACGGGCGACGAGCGACGACGCGTCGTGTTCGGTCGACCGGACGAAAGGGATGAGACATTTTAAATACGCGATAAAGAATCAGCCGATGGCGCGAACGGCGTGCGCCTGGTGCACGACGACGCGCCAGACGCCGTCTTCGGAGCGCTCGAAGACGTTCACGGCGGTGAGTCTGGCGCCGACGCCTATTTTTTCCACGCACGTCACCACGCCCCAGCCCTCGCCGGCGTGCGCCCTGACGTCCACGCACGTGACGTCGATGCCCTGAGACTCGGGAACGCCGGCGAAGATGATATCCCAGCTCGCCATGACGTCTCGCTTCCCGCACGCGACGGATTGTCCCGGGTGCGCGCACTGCGCGTGCGACCCATCCGTCCAGACCGCGTCCATCGCGTCTCTGTTCGCCAATCGAAACGCTCGATAAAACCGTTCATTCGCCTCCGTCACCGCTCGCAGTGCGTCGTCCGAGATGGACCGCATGACGTCTCGAATCGTCGCCGCGTCTTCGTATCGCTCTTCTCGCACCGCCGTCGCGAGCGCGCGCTCGTACTCCGCCAGCGTCGGCGCGACGCCGCCGTCGTCCACGTATGCCATCCCTCGTCCCGATCCACCCGCGCGCGCGCCCTCGTTCGCGCGCGTCGACGCGTCGGCGTCGCCATCATCATCATCATCGTCGTCATCATCGTCCCCGCGCGCCCGCGCCCACGCCGCGCGCCCGCGTCGCGCGCGAACGCCCGCCCGCGGTCGAGCTCGCGAATTCGCCGTCGTCGTCCGCGTCAACGTCACGGGCGCCGTCGCCATCGCGCGCGAGCGACGCGTCGACGAATGCCGCGTGACGCACATCGTCGCGCACTTCATGACGCGTCTCCACCTCGCGCGCGCGTCGTCCACCCCGCGCGCGCGCCCGGGTGGAAGAACGCGCGAACGCGGACCCCGGACGGGGGCGTCGCGCGCCCGCGTGCGCGTCGCGCGCGCGCGCGCGGTGGATGACGATGACGATGCGATGGGAGACGCCGATGCCGAGGCACGGCGACGCCGACGCGTTCGGCGCCCCGCGGACTCCACCGATGCGATCGCGTCCTTCGTCACGCGCAGGTTCGGCCTCGGCGGTGGGCTCGCGTGGCTCGGCGTCCTCGCGTTCGGCGTCGCGAGCGAGCAGGTGAAGACGCGACGGGAGACGCGCGAGGCGTTGGAGAACACGCGGGAGGTGGCGACGGAGGCGCGACGGCTCGTGGAGGTTGGAAATGGGGTGACGTACGTTGAGCTCACGGTGGGGGGGGGTGAGCTGGTGCGCGAGCGGTTTCTCGTCGCGGCGCGCGTCAAGGCGACGACGGCGCGCGGCGGGACGGCGTTCGACACGGATGCGGTCGGACGCGAGATCGTGTGGTCGTTCGGTGGGAAGCTCGGGCCGCCGATGTGTCGGGGGTTGGAGGAGGGGGTGCGAGGGATGCGACAGGGGGGGCGGCGCGTCGTGCGCGTGCCGGCGGCGGCGGCGTTCGGCGCCGAGGGCGCGACGTTCCCGAGAGGCGGCGTCGTGGCGCCGAACAAGGACGTCGAATTCGACATCACGCTCACGCGCGTTTCCATCGCACCGAGTTGAGCGTCGAACAGCGTCGAGGGAGAACGCGATCGCGTCGTCGCTAGGAATGAATCAATCGTCTTGAATAAATTAAACGGCGCCATCGCGAAACGATACTCGTCGCGAAACGATACTCGTCGCGAAACGACGCCCGTGGTCAACGCGCGCGAGCTCAGATATCGTTCGAACCCGATCCCTTGGCCACCAAAGCCTCGCCCTCGAACGTCAATCCCGCGTATCCGTTCTCCATGAACGCCCGGATGTTCGCGTGCGAGTCCCCGTCCGGCGCGTTCGCGACGTCTTCGTAATGTTCGCAGAACAACCGCACCGCCGCCTTTTCGCTCAATCCACACATTTTCGCGAAATAAAACGTCTTACACGATCCGTTATTCGTTCCCGCCGCGTTTCTCGTCTCCCTCGACGTCCCCACCCCGCTCGCGTACGCCGTGGGGACGAAGTCGAAGCACTCGTCAATCTTTCCCATGACCTCGTTGAACGCCACCCCGCTCAGGCCGAACTCCTGTTCGGCGAGCTCGCGCACGGCCTCGATCACGGCATCCGCCCCGGGGTTCGCCCGCGTCCGCTCGTACGCCGCGCGCATCTCTCGCATCGTCGACGCGTCGTCCGAGCCCGCGCGCGCGCGCGTCGACCGCGCGCGCGAATCGATCGTTTTCCCCCGCCTCGCCCGCGTCTCGCTCGCAACGGCGACGCGCGCGCGGGCGACGGACGTGGACGTTTCCATCGCGCGCATCGCTCGGCACGGGCGAGGGTGCGCGCGCGCGCGCGTGTGCGGGGACGCCCGCGAATGGCATCGTCGCGGCATCGCGCGACGCATGGAATCGATCGCGCATCGACGCGCGGCGCTCGACCGAGCGACGACCGCGGCGTCGCGCGCGGGCGATCGATGGGTGGTAAATTCACGTCGCGGTCGGAGGAGGGGTGAGGCGCGCTCGTGCGTCGCGCGCGCGACGAATCGTCCGAGCGATGGTGATGCGGTTGGCGATGCGTCGACGCGGGCGAGCGAGTCGAAATCATCAACCGTCGACGACGCCGCGACGGCGCCGGCGTGGCGACGCGCGAACTCGCGAGCGAATCAGAAACCTATTTGGGAGACGGACATCGAGGCCGAGTTCGAGCGCGTGGAGCGGTTGAAGAGGGAGCGAGAGGAGTCGAGGCGGGCGAACGCGAGCGGGGGGGTCGGCCTGAGCCGAGCGCGCATGTTGGACGACATGTCGTTGGATCTCAGCGCGGCGTTGCGGTCGAAGAAACGTGAGGGGGAGGAGGCGGAGGTGAAGGAGCCAAAGGCGCTGACGGATGGGACGCCGTCCATGTTTACGTCGTCCACGGTGAATCCGGCGTTGAAGTACGTCGATAAGGATGGACGGGTCAAGGGCGAGCCCACGGCGTTGGATCTGGCGACGACGAACAAGGCGGCCAGTAAGTATAACTTGGCTGGGTGGAACTACGCCCCGACGCGGGCGGAAAAGGGTCGGTGGCAGAGAGAGTGGGAGAAGGCGGAGCGCGCCAAGGCGGCGCGCACTCCGGGATATCGACCGGCGAGCAGTCTGTCGATTAAATCAAAGATCAAGGACGCGACCTTCATGCCGGTGAAAGCGTTCGCAGATTTGACGGATGAAGAGAAAGCTGCGCGCCGCGCCGCGGATGCGGCCAAGTACGCGAAGATCAAGGAGGATTTATTGCTCACGACGGCGGGCATGGCGGGGAGCGGAGCCATCGCGGCGTTCGCCGTCGGCGGTAACAACATGGGTTATTCCTGGCTTCTCGGCGCTGCGGGGGCGATTTTATACGTTAGACTTCTCAGCGGCAAGGCGGAGAGCGAACAAGCGGGTCAGGGTGGGCCGCCGTCCATCTTAGTGCCGGTCATCCTCTTCATGGCTCTCAACCGATGGAACGCCTTCTTCTCCGCCGACGTCGGGGTCACGCTGACACCGATCCCGATGCTCCTCGCGTTCTTCACGTACAAGCCAGCGAGTATTTTACAAGCGCTCAAGGACGTCATCGAAAATCCCGAAGACGCCGAGACCGAGGCGTGAGCGTCCTTTGATTGAAGTCAATTTAACGCTCGAGCGAGCGAACGAACGACGCGCGTCGCCCGGTCGACGCAATGCAATACCAAGCCACGCGAACTCAATGCATCGCACGCGCATCACGTTCACCGCGCAAAGCAATGCTCCCGACGCGTTCATTTCGAACATTCAATCGGGTTCGGCGGGCGCCTCGACGGGTGCCCGCTCAGCCGTCGGCGCGCCCGACAACCTCACAGCGCATCGCTCAGCGCGACAGCGTCGTCGATCGCATGCGTGGCACATCGTGAGGTGAGTAAGAGACCGCTCTCCGCTGCGACGTCTTCGAATCACCGCGCGCGGAGCGAATCGCGCGCGGAGCGAGCGAACATGTTCGACACAAAGCGAAACCGTGACGTCGACGTCGAGTCGGTGAACGCGTCGTCTCCGTCCACGTCGCGCCCGTCCTGGGTGCGACGAGAGCTGAAAATCGTCGGACGAATTGTCCCACCGATCGTGGCGCAGTACGGAAGCCAACAGCTCGTGATGGCGACGCAGTTGATTTATTGCGGGAACGTCTCGCGCCGAGCGTTGACGACGATGACGGTGGCGTCGACGCTGTGGAATATGGTGTGGATGCCGATCACCGGAGCCGGGACGGCGATGGATGCGCTCGGGAGTCAGGCGCACGGGATGCAAGACGCGCGGGCGGTGAAGAGCTGGGCCATGTTGACGACGTTTTCGCTTCTGGCTTGGTGCGTTCCGGCGACCGCGTTCTTGGCGGGATCGGAGAGCGTATCGAAGACCTTCTTCCACGCCAAGAGCGAGGATGCGGTGGAGATTCGGAACTGCGCGCTGATAATGGCCTTGGGTCTGTGGCCGCTCGCGGTGACGCTCGGGCTGCAGAAGTACGCGAGCGTGCAAAACAAAGTCTGGGCCGTGGGCGCGACGAGCATACTCACGTTATTCGCCAACGTCGCATTTCACGAGGCGTTCGTGCGGAGCGCCGGCGGCGGGGTGATTGGATCTTCGTGGGCGATGGTATGTTCGCGATGCGTGAACTTGGTATCCATTTTGATTTGGATCGGCGTCGACGAAACGTGGTGGAGAGGGGGCGCGTTGGAGGAGCATCGCGCGGCGTTCGCGGCAATCACGAAAAAAATGACCCAACGCGTGGCGCAACTGAGCTCGAGCGGCGTTCTCATGGTTTTCGGCGAGGCGTTTGCGTTCGAACTCACGGTTGTTCTCGCGAGTCGTCTGGGCGAAGTCTCCCTCGGGGCGCACATGGTCATGCTCAACATCGCGACGTTTACGTTCATGTGCGGACCGATGGCGTTCGGAACGTCGGCGTCGATTCGCGTCGGGAACTTGCTCGGCGCCGGTGACCCGTGGTTGGCGAAACGCTCGGCCTGGCTCGTGATCGCCATGTCGATGACGTTCATGTTGTGTTGCGCCGTTACTATTATAACCGCCGCGAAGGAAATCGCAAAGCTATACACCGGGGGCGACGCGGACATTACGCGCGAGCTCATGCTCATCGCCCCATTCGGCGCCATGTTTCAAATATGCGACGGTTTGCTCGGCGCGTGCAACGGCGTCTTGCGAGCGTGCGGGAAGCTCGCGCTCATCGCGAAGAGCAACTTGGTGTCGCTCTGGACGTTCGGCGTCTTGTCCGCCTTTCTCTTCACCTACGTCGGCGACGCCGGCGTGCGCGGTCTGTGGTGGGGTCTCGCCATCGGCGTCATCTCCGCCGGATCGTTTCTCGCAATTTTGGTCGTGCGTTTAGACTGGACGCTCGAATCCGAAAAGGCGAAGACGGCGGCGACCAACGTCGTTCGCGACGACCCCGACGACTCCGTCGCTCCCGATCACGCCGACTCCGTCGCCGAGCTCACGTAGTCACGCACGCATCACGCACGCACTTCCCCGACCCGTAGCGTAGATCTTATGAAACCCCGACGTTCCGTCGTCTCGCGCTACGACGACGTCCCGTCGAACGGCGGCAATCCGTTCGACCACAGAAACCCCCCGAACAGCACCGCCAACCCGATCGCGCTCCGCGTCACCAGCTTCATCGTCGGCGTCATCACGTCTCGCGTCGTCGCGTCGAACGCGTCCGCGCGCACCGGTTCCGTGACCATCCCGGCGTAATACCTCGCGTCGTACTTCCCCCCGCCCGTCTCCTTCCCGCGTCCATTCGCGTTCGCACTCGCCGTCGTCTCCGCCGCCGTCTCGTCCGAGCTCGCGCCCGGCGCGATCGCGCGTCGGGCCGTCGTCGCCGTCGTCGTCCACGCCGCGCGCGCGGCGCCCCGACCCCCAATCGTCCTCGGCATCGACGTCGTCCTCGGCATCGACGTCGTCATCGGCATCGTCCGTCGCCGCGCGACGATCTCGACGACGCGTCGTCCGCGCGCGCCCCCCTCGGCGGCGTCGACCAGTCCGCGCGTCCGGCGCCGCGCGTCCCGTCCACGGTCCACCCGTCCCCGCCGCGTTCCGCGGTCACCCGCGTCGGCGTCCTCGGCGCCGCGTCCTCGGAACCCGCGACCGAGAGGGGGTTCGCGGGGTTTTTTGGAAAAAAGATCGTGCTTTCACCCGACCGAGAGGGGTTCGCGGGGTTTTTTGGAAAAAAGATCGTGCTTTCACCCGACCGAGGGCGGGGTTTCGCGGGGTTCTTTGGAAAAAAGATCGTGCTTTCACCCGACCGAGAGGGGTTCGCGGGGTTTTTTGGAAAAACCTACGCGCGTTGCTGGGCGTCGCGCGCGTCGACGACGCGACAGAGCCGCGCGCGCGTTCGAGCGAGCGGTGAGACGAAGAATATGAAAAGTGTATCGCGCGCGTCCGGCGCCCCGCGCGACGCGGGCGCGACGTACGAAGGACGCGCGCGACGCCGGGGTGGATCACACGCGATCTGCGCGATCGTCGCGATCGTCGCGTGCGCGCTCGCGCTCGGCGCCGAACGCGCGAACGCCGCGGACGGTGTTTTTACGGATAAAACCAACCTTACATCCGCTCTCGATTCTTGCAGCGGGGACTTCACCACGTGCACGCACGGGGCGACAAACGTCTCGATCGCGAACTGGGACGTGAGCGCGGTGACCGACATGTCGAGCTTGTTCTCGCAGAAAAGTTCGTTCAACGCGAACATCTCCGCCTGGAACACCGCGAGCGTGGCAAGCATGAATTACATGTTCTACAATGCGGCGGCGTTCAACCAAGACATCTCCGCCTGGAACACCGCGAAAGTGACAACCATGGAAGGGATGTTCAAGGGTGCGGCGGCGTTCAATCAAGACATCTCCGCCTGGAACACCACGAAAGTGACACGCGTGGAGGAGATGTTCTCCAATGCGGCGGCGTTCGACCAAAACATCTCCGCCTGGAACACCGCGAAAGTGACAAGCATGAGTTACATGTTCTCCAATGCGGCGGCGTTCAACCAAGACATCGCCGCTTGGAACACCACGAGCGTGACAAGCATGGTCTCGATGTTCTCCAATGCGGCGGCGTTCAACCAGAACATCTCCGCCTGGAACACCGCGAGCGTGGCAAGCATGAATTACATGTTCTCCAATGCGGCGGCGTTCAACCAGAACATCTCCGCCTGGAACATCGCGAGCGTGGCAAGCATGAGTTACATGTTCTCCAATGCGGCGGCGTTCAACCAAAACATCTCCGCCTGGAACACCGCGAAAGTGACAAGCATGAGTTACATGTTCTCCAATGCGGCGGCGTTCAACCAAGACATCTCCGCCTGGAACACCGCGAAAGTGACAAGCATGAGTTACATGTTCTCCAATGCGACGGCGTTCAACCAAGACATTTCCGCCTGGAACACCACGAAAGTGACAAGCATGAGTTACATGTTCTCCAATGCGGCGGCGTTCAACCAAGACATCACGGGTTGGAACACCGCGAGCGTGACAAACATGGCCTCGATGTTTTCCAATGCGACGGCGTTCAACCAAAACATCTCCGCCTGGAACACCGCGAGCGCGAACACCATGGAAGGGATGTTCTTCAATGCGTTTGCGTTCAACCAACGCATCTCCGCCTGGAACACCGCGAGCGTGACAAACATGGAAGGGATGTTCTCCAATGCGGCGGCGTTCAACCAAAGCATCTCCGCCTGGAACACCGCGAGCGTGACAAACATGTATTCGATGTTCTCCAATGCGGCGGCGTTCAACCAAGACATCTCTGCATGGAACACCGCGAAAGTGACAAACATGACAGGGATGTTCTTCATGACGGTGGCGTTCAATCAAGACATCTCCGCCTGGAACACCGCGAAAGTGACAAACATGATGTACATGTTCTCCTATACTTTGTCGTTCAACGCGAACATCTCCGCCTGGAACACCGCGAGCGTGATGGACATGGAATGGATGTTCTCCGGTGCGGCGGCGTTCAACCAAGACATCTCCGCCTGGAACACCACGAGCGTGACAAGCATGAGTTACATGTTCGCCAATGCGGCGGCGTTCAACCAAGACATCTCCGCCTGGAACACCGCGAGCGTGACAAACATGGGTACGATGTTCTACGCAGCGGCGGCGTTCAACCAAGACATCTCCGCCTGGAACACCGCGAGCGTGACAAACATGGCGGAGATGTTCTCCGATACGGCGGCGTTCAACCAAAACATCTCCGCCTGGAACACCGCGAGCGTGACAAACATGATGTACATGTTCTACAATGCGGCGGCGTTCAACCAAGACATCTCCGCCTGGAACACCGCGAGCGTGACAAACATGGAAGGGATGTTCTTCAATGCGGCGGCGTTCAACCAAGACATCTCCGCCTGGAACACCGCGAGCGTGACAAACATGGTCGTGATGTTCTCCAATGCGGCGGCGTTCAACCAAGACATCACGGGTTGGAACTCATCCAGTCTCTCATTATCCACCGACATGTTCAAGGGCGCGACGGCGTGGCTCGTTCGCTACGTGAAGTCAAACAGCAGCGATACCTCGTTCGACGGTCCCACGAGCACCTGGCGCTGGATGTTTTGGACTAAAACAGACCTTTCATCCGCTCTCAATGCTTGCAGCGGGAACTTCACCACGTGCACACACGGCGCGACAAACGTCTCGATCGCGAACTGGGACGTGAGCGCGGTGACCGACATGTCGAGGTTGTTCAAGGACAAAAGTTCGTTCAACGCGAACATCTCCGCCTGGAACACCGCGAGCGTGACAAACATGGCGGAGATGTTCTCCAATGCGGCGGCGTTCAACCAAAACATCTCCGCGTGGAACATCGCGAGCGTGAAACTCATGGGCTCGATGTTCTCCGATGCGGCGGCGTTCAACCAAGACATCTCCGCCTGGAACACCGCGAAAGTGACATACATGGATTCGATGTTCTACAATGCGACGGAGTTCAACCAAGACATCGCCGCCTGGAACACCACGAGCGTGGCAAACATGGCGGAGATGTTCTCCAATGCGGCGGCGTTCAACCAAAACATCTCCGCGTGGAACACCGCGAGCGTGATGGACATGGAAGGGATGTTCTCCAATGCGACGGCGTTCAACCAAAACATCGCCGCCTGGAACACCGCGAAAGTGACAAACATGGTCTCGATGTTCTACAATGCGACGGCGTTCAACGCGAACATCTCCGCCTGGAACACCACGAAAGTGACAAACATGGTCTCGATGTTCTCCAATGCGGCGGCGTTTAACCAAAGCATCTCCGCCTGGAACACCGCGAGCGTGACAAACATGGCGGAGATGTTCTATCGAGCGGCGACTTTCAACCAAGAAATCTATGCCTGGAACACCGCGAGCGTGACAAGCATGGAAGGGATGTTCTCCAATACGGCGGCGTTCAACCAAGACATCTCCGCCTGGAACGCCACGAGCGTGACAAACATGGAAGGGATGTTCTCCAATTCGACGGCGTTTAACCAAGACATCTCCAACTGGAACACCGCGAGCGTGACAAACATGGCCTCGATGTTTTCCAATGCGACGGCGTTCAACCAAGACATCTCCGCCTGGAACACCGCGAGCGTGACATACATGGATTCGATGTTCTACCACGCGGCGGCGTTCGACCAAGACATATCCGCCTGGAACACCGCGAAAGTGACAAGCATGGATTACATGTTCTCCAATACGGCGGCGTTCAACCAAAACATCACGGGTTGGAAGTCATCCGGTCCACCGGAACGCTTCGCTACTGCTAGAAACAGCGCCACAGCGTTCAACCAAAACATCTCCGCCTGGAACACCACGAGCGTGACAAGCATGAGTTACATGTTCTCCAATGCGGCGGCGTTCAACCAAGACATCTCCGCCTGGAACACCGCGAGCGTGACAAACATGGGCTCGATGTTCTCCAATGCGGCGGCGTTCAACCAAAACATCTCCGCCTGGAACACCGCGAGCGTGACAAACATGGATTACATGTTCTCCAATGCGACGGCGTTCAACCAAGACATCACGGGTTGGAACTCATCCAGTCTCTCATCATCCACCGACATGTTCAAGGGCGCGACGGCGTGGCTCGTTCGCTACGTGAAGTCAAACAGCAGCGATACCTCGTTCGACGGTCCCACGAGCACCTGGCGCTGGATGTTTAGGAATCGAAATGACCTTACATCCGCTCTCGATGCTTGCAGCGGGAACTTCACCACGTGCACACACGGCGCGACAAACGTCTCGATCGCGAACTGGGACGTGAGCGCGGTGACCGACATGTCGAGGTTGTTCAAGGACAAAAGTTCGTTCAACGCGAACATCTCCGCCTGGAACACCGCGAGCGTGACAAACATGGCGGAGATGTTCTCCAATGCGGCGGCGTTCAACCAAAACATCTCCGCGTGGAACATCGCGAGCGTGAAACTCATGGGCTCGATGTTCTCCGATGCGGCGGCGTTCAACCAAGACATCTCCGCCTGGAACACCGCGAAAGTGACATACATGGATTCGATGTTCTACAATGCGACGGAGTTCAACCAAGACATCGCCGCCTGGAACACCACGAGCGTGACAAACATGTATTCGATGTTCTCCAATGCGGCGGCGTTCAACCAAGACATCTCTGCATGGAACACCGCGAAAGTGACAAACATGACAGGGATGTTCTTCATGACGGTGGCGTTCAATCAAGACATCTCCGCCTGGAACACCGCGAAAGTGACAAACATGATGTACATGTTCTCCTATACTTTGTCGTTCAACCAAGACATCTCCGCCTGGAACACCGCGAGCGTGATGGACATGGAATGGATGTTCTCCGGTGCGGCGGCGTTCAACCAAGACATCTCCGCCTGGAACACCACGAGCGTGACAAGCATGAGTTACATGTTCTCCAATGCGGCGGCGTTCAACCAAAGCATCTCCGCCTGGAACACCGCGAAAGTGACAAGCATGGCGGAGATGTTCTATCGAGCGGCGGCTTTCAACCAAGAAATCTATGCCTGGAACACCGCGAAAGTGACAAGCATGGAAGGGATGTTCTCCAATACGGCGGCGTTCAACCAAAACATCTCCGCCTGGAACACCGCGAGCGTGACAAACATGGAAGGGATGTTCTCCAATTCGACGGCGTTTAACCAAGACATCTCCAACTGGAACACCGCGAGCGTGACAAACATGGCCTCGATGTTTTCCAATGCGACGGCGTTTAACCAAAACATCGCCGCCTGGAACACCGCGAGCGTGACATACATGGATTCGATGTTCTACCACGCGGCGGCGTTCAACCAAGACATATCCGCCTGGAACACCGCGAAAGTGACAAGCATGGATTACATGTTCTCCAATACGGCGGCGTTCAACCAAAACATCACGGGTTGGAAGTCATCCGGTCCACCGGAACGCATCTCTCCTGCTAGAAACAGCGCCACAGCGTTCAACCAAAACATCTCCGCCTGGAACACCACGAGCGTGACAAGCATGAGTTACATGTTCTCCAATGCAGCGGCGTTCAACCAAGACATCTCCGCATGGAACACCGCGAGCGTGACAAGCATGGAAGGGATGTTCTCCAATGCGACAGCGTTTAACCAAGACATCTATGCCTGGAACACCGCGAAAGTGACAAACATGAACTCGATGTTCTCCAATGCGACGGCGTTCAACGAAGACATCACGGGTTGGAACTCATCCAGTCTCTCGTCATCCACCGACATGTTCAAGGGCGCGACGGCGTGGCTCGCTCGCTACATGAAGTCTAACAGCAGCGATACCTCGTTCGACGGTCCCGCGAGCAGCTGGCACAAGATACCGCCGCCGCCGAGCCCGCCGCCGAGCCCGCCGCCGAGCCCGCCGCCGAGCCCGCCGCCGAGTCCGCCGCCGAGTCCACCGCCGAGCCCGCCGCCGCCGAGTCCACCGCCGAGTCCGCCGCCGAGTCCACCGCCGAGCCCGCCGCCGCCGAGTCCACCGCCGAGTCCGCCGCCGAGTCCACCGCCGAGTCTGAACGGCGGTTTGACAGATTTAGAACAAGCTGCCATCGGCGTCGGATGCATCACAGCAGCGATCGTCATCGGCAATACTATCCGCGTCAGACTTCGCCGTTACGCCGACGACAAGCTGCACGCGCGTCGCGGCGTCTATGAGGGCGCCGCGCCGGCGCCGCAAATCGTCGTCGTGCAGCGGTAAGGCGCACGCGATATCCAAGAGGTGCAGATACCTCCACGCCCACGGTCGAAAAGCGATCCAGCGACGCGAACAGGCCTCGCCCGTCGCGTCTGGTGTCGACCAATACGCGTCATTACGATGAACACTTTATTTTAATTTAAAACACTTCATGGGACTTAAGACGCACCCATCCCCGCGCGCTGAACTCGATGGAGGTTTCCTGGATTTTCACCAATCCCTCGACGCGCGTCGTACTTTAAAAACGTCGGGGACGCGAGCCGTCTCGTCGCGACGATGATTTGACAAATCATTTGTCATCGATGGCCGGCTGTGTAGTGAATGAATGTTCCACGGTGTATCGGTGCGCCGGACGCACACTGCGCGACACGCACGCGCGCCTCGCGTCGACGCGCGCGCGGCAACGCGTCCTCGCGGGCGTGGATCGGACCCACCATGCCGTCACCGCCGCCGCCGCGAATCCGCGTTCGAATTCTCACCGAACCCATCGACGAACGCGAATCCATCGAGTTCGTCCGCTCGCCGCTCGCGGGGGCGATCTCGACCTTCATCGGCACCGCGCGGAACACGTATCACGGCGTCGACGTCCTCGAGCTCGCGTACGAGTGCTACGAACCGATGGCGCTGGAGGTGCTGGACGCCGTGGCGCGAGAGACGTGCGCGCGATACGCCGGGGACGGCGACGAGCGACGCGTCACCGTGGACGGTCGAGGCGGCATGGGCGTCGTCGCGATGGACATCGCGCATAGGGTGGGAACGGTGGGCGTCACCGAGACGAGCGTCGTCGTGAGCTGCGCGGCGTCGCATCGGAAGGATGCGTGCGACGCCGTCGCCGAGGCGATGGAGCTCCTCAAGGCTCGAGCGCCGATATGGAAGAAGGAGATATTAGACGTCGTGGACGAGACGAGCGGTACGCGGGTCGGGGTGTGGAAGGCGAACGGGCTCGGCGAGCACTTTGGTCGTGACGGGTGAAAAAAGCGCGCCGGCGTCGACGCCCGGGTCGCGGCGCGCGCGACGACGACGTCAGATCGCGACGCGCGCGCGATGGCCTCGGGCGTCGCCGCGCGCGGATGCGTCGTGCTCGCGCGCGCCGGACGGGGCGAGCGCGCGGGGACGAACGGGCGCGGGCGCGGCGGGGGACGCGCGGGACGCGGCGGCGGCTGGGACGCCGGGAGACGCGCGGCGCGTCCGTCGCCGTCGCCGAGCGCGAGCGAACGCGCGGCCAATGACGTGACGAGACATAACGTCGATGTTTTACGCGACTTGGTGCGCGCGACGCCTCGAGACGTGGACGAGAAGACGACGACGGCGTACGCGGGGGAGGGATTCCGCTTGGTTCGGTGCATGCCGCACCTGAAACGACGAGAGGCGGACGATGCGGTGAGCGCGGGGCGGGTGCTCGTGAACGGTGAATTGGTGCGACCGTCGCGCAGGGTGGTGCACGGAGACGTGGTGACGTTGGACGGGAAAGCGATGGATTGGGAACCGTACGCGCAGAGCGTGGAGAGCGAGCTCGGAGACGCGCGGTTCGTGTACTTGAAGTATAATAAACCGCGAGGCGTGGTGTGCACGATGTCTGACACCGAGCGAACGTCGATGTTTCACGCGCTTCACCACGAGCGTAAGGCGCTCGGGAAGGATGTTCGATTGTTCCCGGTGGGAAGATTGGACAAGGACTCGAGCGGTTTGGTTTTGCTGACGAACGACGGGAGAGTCTCGGACGCGCTGTTAGATCCCGAACGAAAGGCAGAGAAGACATACGACGTGGACGTCGACCGGATCGTGAGCGAGGCGGACGCGCGAACGCTCGCGCGCGGGGTTGTGATTTCGACGACGCAACAGCGCGATTTGAAGGAAACCGTCGCGGCGACGCTCCCGTGCGAGGTCACAAAGACGGGTGAGAAGTCGCTTCGTTTCGTCTTAAAGGAGGGGAGAAACAGACAGATTCGTAAGATGTGCGAAGTTTTGAGCTACGACGTCGAGCGCTTGCATCGTACTCGAATCGACGACGTCGCCCTCGGCGACTTGGAGGTTGGGGGCGTCGCGCCTCTGGACGAGGACGAGGTCAACGCCCTCTCCGCGCGCGTCGACGCGCGCGCGTCGACGCCGCGAGAGTCATCGAAGCACACGAGCGAGAGTCGCAGACGACGACGAGCGATCGACGCCAATCCCGGGGGATGGGGCGCGAAAATGTTCAAGGAGCGCGACGCCTCCGCGTGACCTCGTCGCCTAGATATCTAATCGTGTAAACTACAACGCATCGCGCTCGCTTTTCTGCGCTACGTCGCGAAAAACTTTCCTCGCCCACCCCGCCCGTCGGCGCCGTGCTTGATGAACGTTCCCGTCGTCGACGCCGACGGCGCCTTTGGCGAAGATTTCAAAAACGAGCCGGCAATTTTTCGCTTCTTTGTCCCGTGTGTCGATCGATCCCCCGTCGGGCGCGTCGCCGCGGCCGCGCGTTTACGCTCAACGCGCTCGTCCACCTCGTTGAGAATGTCCGCCAAAACATCGTCGGCGACGTCGTCTTGGACTAAATCGATGGGTTCGTCGCTCGGCGGTTTCGCCGGCGCCAGTCGTCGCATCAGCGCGTCATCGCCAATGCGCAACGGCTGACGACTCTCGCGCGTTTTACCCGCGCGCTTTTCCCCCGCGCGTTTACCCGCGCGCTCAATCGTGCATTCGTTCGCATCTTCCGATCCCCACGCGCGCGCGCTCGACGCGCGCGCGCGAATCTCGGGCGCCGCGGGCGCGACGCCGAGCTGTTCGTTCGATTTCGCCGCGGCGCGATACGCCTCAACCTTGGACTCGAGCGTCTTTATTTCGCTCTCCTTGTCGCGAATTCGCCGCACCAGGGCGTCGTACTGCTCTTGTTGCGACGCCATGTGCTTGTTCTTCGCGCACAAATTGCGCACGAGCGTCGTCATCGCCGTCCGCGCGTCGCTCCCTTGTAATCGCTTCAACATCTCGCGCTCGCCCAACGACGACGCGCTCGATCTCGAGATTTCACGCTCCACGCGCTCTTTATCCTCCAACACCGTCAATCGTCTCGACAACGCGTCGTTCGTCTCCTTTAATTTTCCATTCTCCCGCGAGAGCGCCGTCCGCGCGAGCTTCTGCGCGTTCGCCTCCCGTCTCAACCGCCCGAGTTCGTCCCGAACCGCGGCATCCTCCGCCTCCAGTCGTCTACACTCTCTCAATTCGCGCTCCACCGTCGCCAACGCGTCTTCCGCCGCTCTCGAGCGTTCGCGTTCGCTCGCCAATCGTCTCGCGACGTCCGCCAACCGCCCCGCCTCGCCCCCCCCCGCCTCGCTCGTCGACCGCCGTCGCCCGCGCGAGAGCTCGCGTCCACCACCCTCAACTCCCACATCCTCATCGCGTCGAACGTCCAGATATATCGTCACCACGTCGCGTCGATGATCGAACGCGCGTTTACACGTCGGACACGTCGCCGTCGCGTCGTCCCCCCGTCCCCTTTCGTCCCGTCCACGTTCCCTCGTGCGCCCCTGTTCGATCCACCGCGAGATGCATCGCACGTGATAGACGTGTCCGCACGTCCCCAGCGCCTGCGCGGTCGTCCACACGCGCGGTCGAGGTCAGTCGCGCGCGTTCGTGCGCCCAACGTGCAATCCATCACGCGTGGACATTCCCTCGACGTCGCCTCCCTCGTCCCCGTCGACGCCCGCGCGCGGTGTCACGCCTCAGCGCACGCACCGCGCACTTCCCCGCGCACGTCTCGAGGCACACCGCGCACTGGGACATGCGTCGGGGTGTGATGATTCATGAATCAATGGAATCATCACCACTCGAATGTCTCGACGATTGCCCGCACACGTCCACGCCCGCGCTCGAACGGCCGCGATGCGCGCGACGGCGCGCGTGCGGATCAACGCGCGGGCGTCCCGGGCGCGCGCGACGGGTACGCGGGCGTCGAGGGAGGTCCAACGACGGGATTTTATGATCGTCATGACGTCGAGACTCACGCTCGGTGCGATGACGCTCGACGCGTGCGCGGCGCGCGCGGCGCGGGCGTACGGCACCGGGGGGTGGCGTGACTGCGATCCGGTGTGCGATTCGTTGAAGGATGGTCGAGCGCGGCAGTTGGCGCTGATGCGGGAGATGTCGGGGGAGACGGCGGAGGCGCCGCCGCGCGCGAAGAAAATCCTCACCAAGGCCGAGCGCGAGGCCGCGCGGAGGGATGGGAAGACGTGAGGGAACGCGCGTAGATGATGCGCGACGCGGCGACGCGCGTTCGTGTCGCTATTTTTGTTTTACATGGATTTTTTCTCACGTCGCGTCGACGACGCGGGCGACGACGGGCCCGGACGCGCGCGACGACGACCCGCTCGGGGTTTTCATGAGCCTGACGACGCGACCGCGGAGGATCGATGCATGGGAGTCGATCGAGTGGGTTCCCGCGCGCGCGATCTCGGCCTCGGCGAGGAGACGCAACGCGCGGGTGACGCATCGCGAGAGCACGATGGCCACCTCCTTCCCGCCCTCGATGGCGTACTCGCCCTCGAACTCAACCTCGTCCACTAACGTCTCTAACACGGCGTCGTCCCACTCCAATCGCCCGAGCTCATCGCGAAGCTTCTTCATGCGGCCTCTTCGCTCGAGCTGCGCGTGCACGATGGCTTTCACCGCGACGCGATCGAGCGGGACGAATGGGACGAAGACGTCAATCGCGCCCACCGCCTTGAGCGTGTCCTCGCGATCTTCGCATCGATCGTCTCGCCACTTTTCGAATAACCCATCGCGAAGTTTTCGTTGCAACGCCACGAGCGCCTCACCCTCGGGCGCGCGCCCGCGCGCGGCGCTCGCGTCGTGCACGTCCATGAAGCCCGCGTTTGCTTCGAGAATGAAAATCGACCTCGCGAAGGCGACGACGCGATCAAACGGGTTCCCATCGCTCGTCCCAGAGCTCCCGTGTTCGAGCATCTGTTTCAGCATCCCCCGCGCCGGACACCCGAGCTTATCGTACTCCTCCACGACGATGATGGACTCTGGAAATCGCTCCAAGTGTCGCGTCACCGCGTCTCGCAACATGCGCGCCTGGGCGTCTCGCTCGCGCGCGACGTAATCCGTCCCAAAAATCACCTTGTACCCCCGACACCCACTCCCCGGACACGTCGTCCGACCACCCACCCATTCGCCCTCCTCCGACGCCCCGACGTCGTACACCGCCCGCGCGAGCGCCGAGTGAAACATTGATTTCCCCACCCCAGGACTTCCGTGCGTTGCGAGCACGAGCGGTTTCCCTCGCCCGTCCCCCATCGACCCCTCGACGTGATCGCACGTCGCGTCCAGGGCGAGCGCGAGCGCGGCGGACTGTCCGAGGACCGATCGCGCGGTTTCGTTTCGCGCCCGCGCGCACAGGTCACGCGTGTGAAACCCGTGACCTCCCATGGGCCACGCATCGAACGCATTCTGGGCGAGCGTTCGAATCCTTCGCGTCGTGCGCTCGATGGCGCCCTCGCCGTCCACCGCGGTGATTCGCACGACGAGGACGAGGACGGTGACGAGGACGAGGGCGGTCGCCGCGCCCGCGCGGCGCTCGCGCGGCATCGCGGGCGGCGTCGACGCGCGCGCGTGTGGGGCGTGGGCGAGGAAAACCAGGGTTTTTAGGGTATAGGGTTTAGGGTTTGAGGCGTGCACGTGCGCCACGGACGCCCACCGAAACGCGCGCGCGCGGTGTTTCGCGACACCGAGGGGGGGGTTCGTCCACCCTCGACGACGTCCTCGGTCGATGCGACCCCGTTCGCCGGCGCCCTTCGTCGCCCGCGCCGATTGAACACGCGTCGTCTCACGCTGGGTGGTTTTTCTGGACCGACCGACCGATGGCCAACACACACACACACGTGTGGCGCCAACACACACACACGTGTGGCGCCAACACCCCGCGCCGCCGTCCCCGTCGTCGCCCGCGCGGCATCCCTTCGCGCCCATGGCCCTGTTCGCCCCGCACCGCGAACTGGGACTGGTGAACGCCACCGATGGCGTCCCGGTCGTCGTGCGCCGACGCGGGACGGAGAGCTACGCGAGCGTGAGCGCGCGAGACGGCTTTTACATCCTCGATTGTAAAAAGTTGACGCTCGCGATGCGGTCGGAACGTCTGGGAGGCCGACCGACGGCGATCACGGCGCTCGCGACGCGGAAAGATTGGACGTTTTGTGCGACGGGACGGGTCGTTCGATGCGTGAAGCGGACGCGGGAGTTGTGCGCGTTGGTGGGGACGCGGGAGTTCCGCGCGCTGCGGACGTTCGGGCATCACTTGATAGCGATCGATGTCGACGGTGCGGTCACGGCGTGGGACGTGGACGACGACGCGATGAAATTGAGGGTTCGTGGGGGGGACGCGGGCGGTGAGATGGGCGATGGGGCGGGGAGCGCGTCGGGGAGCGAGAGCGAACGCGAGAGCGCGTTGGGGGCGCGGAGGATGGACGCGCCGAGGGCGTTTCAGGCGAATTCTGTGTGTCATCCGGATGGGTACGTCGATATACTCTTGTTCGGGGGGGAAGATGGTCGTTTGGCCCTCGTGGACGTGCGCGCGGGGACGACGGTGCGCGAATTTAAGGGTTGGGGATCGAGAGTGACGGCGCTGGAGAACTCGCCGGCGACGGATTTCGTCGCCGTCGGTCTCGAGGACGGACGCGTGCTCCTGGTGAACTTGTTGGAGGATAGCGTTTTGTTCACGGTCACGCCGGATCACGGATTGAAGATCACGGCGCTGGCGTTTAGGACGGATGATCAGGACGACGTCCTGTGCATCGGCGACGAGAGTGGGCGGGTGACGGTTTGGGATCTGGAGAAGCGCTCGCTCAGGACGGTCATCTCGCAGTGTCACGAAGGCCCGGTGGTGGCGCTCAAGTTTTTGGACAGTCAACCGGTGATGCTCTCGAGCGGGGTCGATAACTCGATCAAGGAGTGGATATTCGATCGCGACGACGGCGAAGCGCGATTGCTCCGCTTCCGCGCCGGGCACTCCAAACCTCCGATGTGCGTCTCCTTCTATGGCGCGGGGAAGAAGCTTCTCTCCGCCGGGAACGACCGCACGCTCAGGATGTTCCACATGTACCGGGATCAGCAGAGCATAGAGCTGAGTCAGAAGAATGTGGGCAAGCGAGCGAAACGCATCGGCGTCAACGAGGAGGAGCTCAAACTTCCGCCGGTGACTTCGATCGCTTCGAATGATCTTCGCGAGAAAGACTGGGCTAACGTCGTCACCGCGCACGAGGGTTCGACTAAGGCGTACACGTGGCGCCTCGCGAAGGGCGCGATCGGTGAGCACGTGTTGCAGTGTCCAAAAGAGGATGGCAACTACGAGATCAAGACGACGGCTATTAGCGCGTGCGGAAACTACGCCTTCGTCGGTGCCGCGAACGGGGCGGTGCACAGATTCAACTTACAATCTGGTTTGCACCGAGGGGCGCTCCAGCGCGTCATCGACGCCGAGGAGGCGCCTCGGAAGAAGAAGAAGAACGGTAACGAAGGGTACAATTTTCCAGGCGGCAAGCGTTCGTTCTGGGCGCTCGCGAATCAAGTCGGCGGAAACTCGGACGGGAAGCTGCAAATCGGCGCCCACGACGGCGAGGTGACGTGCATTCAGCCGCACTGTGCGAACAGAAGCATCGTCACCGCGGGCGTGGACGGGTTCGTTCGCGTGTGGAAATTCAGCGAGTTGAAGCTTGACATGGAGATCGACGTCGGGTGCTCCGTTCGGTGCGGGTACTTGCACGAGGACGGTTTAATCGCCGTCGGGTGCGGTGATAAACACGTTCGAGTTTTTGATACGATGACGGGTAAGCGCGTTCGCACGTACGTGCCTCGCGGGAACTTGGACGACGCGGGAGACGTGAAGAGCGTACAAATTAGCGCCCACGGTCGATGGGTCTTGTCCCTCGACACGAAGGGGTCGGTGCGCGTGTACGACATTCCCGCCGCGAGATTGCTGCAGCACATGGAACTCGGCGCGGAAAAGGTTGTCGCGATGCACTTGTCTCCTCGCATGGACTTTTTGGCCACCGTACACGAAGGTCACGTCGGTGTGTTCCTGTGGGTGAATCAGCCGATGTTTGCATTCAAGCCGCCGAAAGTCGCGTACGGGCGCAAGGTGTCGATCGGGTTGCCAAAAAAACACGCACAATTGGACGGAGACGATCTGGACGTCGATGGATCCAACGATGACCGCGCGATCGTGGACGAGGATGAGGTGTACGTGCACCCGCTGGAGGACGAGGAGGCGGCTGAGGAGCACACGATTGAAGAGTTGGAGAACATCTTCAAGGAGATGTCCACGGCGAAGAAACAGATTGAACCTGGCATGATTACGCTGGCAAACATACCGGAGACGCAGATAGACTTACTGCTCAACTTGGAGACCGTGAAAGAGCGGCAAAAATTGAAGAAGGAGGAGAAGGAACCCGCGAGGGCGCCGTTCTTTTTGCCCACGACGGCGGCGAGCGACGACGTACGACGATCCATCTTCGACACCTCCCGGGAGGCTGAGCTCAATGAAACGTCGACGACGGCGAATGGAAAAGGCGACGACGACGCGCCGAAGAGTCGAATTTTACGCCAAGGAACGGATCTCGCCGGCGCGATGGCGACGCCTCTCTTGGCTTTGATTCGCAAGGGCGAGGAAAAGGGCGACTACCTCGAGGCGCTGGAGTACTTGCGAAACGCCACGCCATCGACATGCGACGGCGAAATACGCTCGCTCGGTCCGTGGGATCACAAGTTCATGTCCGAGGACGACGTCAAGACGTTGATGAGCGCCATCAAATTTTTTACGCAAACCATCAAGTCGGGCATGTACTACGAGTTGGTTAACGCGCTCCTCACGGTGTTCCTGAACGCGCACACCACCGCCATCATGCAGTCTCCAGAGCTCGTCGAGGAGTGTCATCACCTCCGATCGGCTCTGCACTCGACCTACAGCAGGATTGACGATCTTTTCAACGAAGTACAGTGCGCGTTGTCGTTCCACACCGGTCAGTTTGGTGTGTAAACGACGACGTCGTCGTCGCGCCGTCGACGAGACGTTCGAGCTTCACACAGAACGCAACACCGTTTCACGCGCGCATATAATAATAGCGTCGTCGTTCCTTCATTCGTCCACCACTCTCTCGCGCGCGCCTTCGCGTCTCGTTCGCTCCGCACTCCGCGACGCGCCTCTTCGCCCTCGATGAGCGCCTTCGTCCCCGTTCCCGGTCACGCCACCACCCGCCGCATCGTTCGACAAGGAACCGGCGCCGAGGTCGTCCAGGGCGACACCGTCACCGTGCACGCCAAGGGAACCGTCGTGGAGACGTCAAAAGTGTTTTGGTCCACCAAGGACCCGGGACAGAAACCGTTCACCTACCGCGCCGGCGTCGGCGCCGTCATCACCGGATGGGACCAAGGTTTATTAGGCACCGCCTCCGGCGGCGTCGTCGAGCTCAACATTCCCGCGCACGAGGGGTACGGCGCCGACGGGTTCCCGGCGTGGGGGATTCCGCCCGACGGAACGCTCCTCTTCGAGATCGAAGTGTTGAGCATCCAAGGTAAATAAATCCCTCTGAGCCCCGCGTCGAGCGCGCGTCGTCGTCGTCGTCGTCATCGTCGTCGTCGTCGTCGACGACGACGCGCGCGCGCGCGGCGTCGGTGGCGTCCATCGTCGCGCGTCGCCGTCGCCGTCGTCGCCGTCGCGTCCCGTTGTCATCACACAGTTTCCCGCCAAAAATCATCACTTCGCGCCTCGACGCCCCCGTCGACGCCCTCGCGCGCGCGCGCGGCGCCGTCGCCCGCGGTTTCGATGCCCGCGCTCGCGCGGCGTGATTTTCCGAGCTTTCCGTACGCCGCACCGTACGGGATTCAAAAAGATTTAATGCGTCGAGTGTACGACGCGTGCGAGCGAAAGAAAACGTTCGGTGTGTTTGAGTCACCCACGGGCACGGGGAAGACGCTGAGCGTGCTCATCGGCGCGTTGTCGTGGATCGATGATCGTCGACGACGGCGGCTTCGGGGGGAGACGTCGTCGAGCGACTCGGAGGATGCGGTCGAGGCGGCGGCGGGACGCGGCGCGGCGGCGGCGGCGGCGGGACGCGGCGCGGCGGACGACGAACCGGATTGGTTGAAAGAGTACGACGCGAAACGAAGGAAAACGGACGCGGATTCGGTGGAGAAACGTCGGCAGGAGATTAGGAGAGAGATGCGGGAGCGAGCGTCGAAGGCGGAGCAGAGAGCGATTTTACGGAGAGACGCGGAGAAGCGTTTGCGAGAACAGATTGCGAGCGCGAACGCGAATGCGGAGACGCGATCGGAGGTGGATAAATACACGGCGGAGGAGCGAGAGTTCTTGGTGGATGAGTACGATTCATCGGCGGAACACGCGGTGGAGGATCTTCGGACGCTTTTGAGGGACGGGGACGACGAGAGCGACGACGAGGACGAGTCGGCTCGGCGAGAGGAAGACGAGGCGCTCAGACCGGCGCAGCAGATCATTCTCTGTTCGCGCACGCACTCGCAGCTCACGCAGGTGATTGGAGAGTTACGAAAGACGGTTTTCGGTGGAAAAGTTGAGGGCGCGCCGGAGATGGTCACGGCGGCCGCCGTCGCCGGTCGCGCGCAGCTGTGCGTAAATCCGGCGGTGAAAAGCTTGGGCTCGGCGGCGAGAATTAACGAGCGTTGTTTAGACATGAGCAGGGGGAAGAAGAAGCCCGGAGAGAAGGAAAAGCACAAGGCGTGTCCGTTCCTATCGAAGCGACGAAAAGCTCTGCTCGAGCTCAAAGAAGCGGCGCTGGCGAAACCGATGGACATTGAAGACTTGGCGAAACTCGGCGAGACGAGACGAGCCTGTCCTTACTACGCCGCGCGCTCGGCGTTACCCGAAGCTGACTTAGTTTTGATGCCGTACGCGTCTCTCTTGCACGCGGACACGCGAGAGACGTTGGGGGTGAGACTGGAGAATGCCGTCGTGGTGTTCGACGAGGCGCACAACTTGGTGGACGCCGTGCACAATTCGTACGGCGCGGCGGCAACCTTGGACCAATTAAACGACGTCGACGACATGGTCACCGCGTACGTCGAGAGATTCAAGACGAGATTGAGCGCGAGTAACCTGCGATACTTACGAACGCTGACGAACATCGCGCGCGCGTTCGCCAAGACGCTCGCCAAGGAAAGCGACGACGAGACCAAGGCGCGGAAACGTTTGACGACTCTGAATGATTTCTTATTCGAGTGCGGACAGGACACGGTGAACATGTTCAGCTTGAGGAAGTACTTGAAGGAGAGCAAAGTCGCGCACAAGATTGCGTCGTACGGCGAGTGCTCGAGGGCGGATGCGAACGCGGAGGAATGGGCGTCCGGGCGTCCGGGCGTCGGCCGAGTCAAGATTGAAAAAATAGGCGACGCGAACGTCGCCGTCGCGCCGACGCCGTCGCCCAACCCCAGAGTGGGCGCGGTGCACGCGCTGTCGTCGCTCATCGAGGCCTTGGCGAGCGCGGACTCGGACGGGCGAATAGTGTACGAACGCGCCGCGGATGGCGAACCGGCGAAGCTGCGCTTCATTCTTTTGGACGCGGCGAGTCGATTTCGACGCGTCGTCGACGCCGCTCGATCGGTCATTCTCGTCGGCGGTACGCTCGCCCCGTTCTCAGAGCTCGTGGCGCAGCTCTATCCCGAGCTCGACGTCACTGGATCCACGACGGTCTCGACCCCGGCGCGTTCGCCGAACGCGGGCGTCGCCCTCAAGACGTTTACGTGCGGTCACATCATTCCGCGGGACAACTTGCTCGCCGTCCCGCTTCCCGCCGGCCCCACCGGCGTCGCGCTCGATTTCACCCACGCCTCGCGCTCGAGCGCGTCGCTCATCGACGAACTCGGAAGAATCGTCCTCAACGCGTGTCGCGTCGCCCCCGGCGGGGCGTGCGTCTTCTTCCCATCCTTCGCGTACGCCGACGACGTCTGCGCGCGATGGGACGCCACGGGCGCGATGGCCGCCGTGCGCGCCGTGAAGGATGTCTATCGCGAGCCCAGAGACGGTGCGGCGCTGGAACAGTGTTTACGCGACTACGCCGCCTCAATCTCTCGCGCGACGAAACCCAACGGCGGCGCCGTACTCCTGTGCGTCGTCGGCGGCAAGCTCAGCGAGGGCATCAACTTTAGCGACGACCTCGGAAGGCTCGTCGTCGTCGTCGGTTTACCCTACGCCAACGTCGCCGACGCCGAGCTCCGGGCGCGCAAGGACCACTTGGACGCCACCGGCGAACGAGGGCGCGGTCGGGCGTATTACGAAGCCCTGTGCGCGCGCGCGGTGAATCAATCCATCGGTCGCGCCGTTCGCCACGTCGGCGATTACGCCGCCGTCCTCCTCTGCGACGTTCGCTGGGGCCCGTTCGCTTCGACGTCCGGAAAGCGCGGCAAGCACGTCCAGGCGCTTCCCGAGTGGATCGCCCGACGACTCGCGACGCCGACGTCGTACGGCGACGCCCACGGCGCGCTCGCCCGATTCTTTCGGGACAAACGCATTCGCATTCGGGCGTCGCCGTCGCGCGCCGCGGAGACGAACGGGTGACGTCCCGCGACGCCCCGCGCGAGAGCGCGTTGAAACGCAATGCATGGAATCGCGGTGCATTACATCGCGTCGCGTCGCGCGCACAACGCATCCGTCGCGCGTCGTCGCGTCGCGCATCCGCGATGCAATGCGATTCGCGCGGCGACGCGCATTGCGCATCGCATCTCCATCGCGCGCGGCGTCACTCCACCGCGCGCACGCGCGACGCGCGCGCGATGGACGCCCGAACCCCGTGCGCGTCCTGCGCGCGCCTGCGCGACGAGCTC